GTTGTCAAAATTATGGTACGTTTTTGGGTACCCTAAATATTATGTGCCATACTATATTAGGGACCCAAAAAAGGGACCATAATTTTGACAACTACCCACATGATGCCCTCATCGCACGTTGTAAACGGTATGAGAAAACCTACAGCCGCGATTCAGAAGTCTGAGATGACTCAGTGTGTTGGGCAGTTATAAGTAGGCTTCTAAAGGGTTTAGGGTTCCTTTAAAGGGATCTTTATTGGGTTCTATCCGGTTTCTGTTTCGTCGTTCGCTGGTTCTCTTCCTTCCTCTCTCCCTCCCTCCCTCCCTCCCTCCCTGCAGCTCCTTGCCATTCATTTACGCCCAGCACGTATCACTAACATTTGCATTGACTGGCAATTCTAAAGAATGCGATAAATTTGGGCTGGAATAGATGAAGCTGTAGAGAACAATATACATATAATTGCAGACGCAGGCAGACAGGCAGGTCCATATGACCCGAGGGACGAAACACTGAACCGAAGCTCCCTGCTGACGACAGAGGTGGCAGCATTATGGTGTCTACTTACTTCTTTAGGCCTGGTGTTCAGGGTTTCAGGAAACCACAGAACCCGAGATGCGAAACCCTCATACCGAAACACGAGCTTGGCCTGCGTTTCTGCAGTAAAAAGCACCAGCCCAATTGGAAAGGGTCCTAAGTACCTAAAGGGGGGAGACGTACCCAAACAGCAAGTGTAATGCCAGTTCCTACTATAGAAACCCTATTTTCATGTTTCCATTATGTAGGTACTTAGGCTCCTTTGAAAGCAGGAGGGAACACCCGACTTCGAGTTCTTCGACGGCATGGTTTTTATGGCCAACATAGAGTTCCTTGGTGCGCATGATGCTGCCGAGTTCGGGGTTTTGGGCTTAATGTCTTTCTCGCTCGATTTTGATTTTTGTTCGGTGTAAGGTGCGGGTTTGAGTGCTTCAGGTTAAAGTTGCAGTGACATTTGCATTGCAGCCGTAGCCCCGACCTTTCCAGTAAACCGTCTCCAGTTCTTCAGTGCTCGGAGCTGATGTTGCTGGTTGATCCCCTCGGGAACATTGTTTCAGTTGTCGTTTAGCATGAGAGCATATCAGCGTATCTGGGTATCTGTGGATTTCAGATACCGCTTCCGGACCACACTTGAAGATGGTGTGAGTACCGTCACCATACACCATGCCACGATGCTTTATGCTGGCATCAACAGGCCATACCAACTAAGCTGCAATCTCGAACTCCAGTTCTCTGTCTTTCGAGCCCAGGATGTGTGCCGACTGGTGTGCGCTGATGGAGGATCGAATCAGCCAGCTGCCATATCACCCGTTGGAACGCAACGTCTCAATTCTGCAACGCCAGCAGAAAGTTCAGAGCATGGCGCAAGACCCTGTTCTGACTCACCTGTGACCACGGTGATATGATGCCTGAGCACATGCTAGAAATCTAGGTTCCTGAGTAGCACCCTTTGGCCCTTCTCATGTTAAGGTCCCCTTGCTAAACCCGAATAGAAGGAAAAAACTGCATTATGAAGGGGCTACTCAGAAACCTAGAAATGCGCCTCTCAAAGCCTTTGGGGCATCCTTCTGGGAGGCGCTGCGAGAAGTCGCTGGGTTCTGTTTGTTTGGCTTCAAACCTCTCAGAGCGGTTAAATTTAATCGACTTCGGGCGCGGGGCGGTTCAATTTCTCCGATTTCCAAATTTCGAGCCCTCAGGGCAGCCTAGAGCAATAACCGCTACCTTAACCCCAAGTAACTTACCTTCTAAAAAAGGTAGGTTCCTTCGGGTCCAGCTTTTCCCAAGACAGCGAACCCGGTCATGGAGTCATGGTTGGCCTTGAACTCTTCATCTCGACTCGTGTCTCTCTCGCGGAAATTTCGTGCAGAGGCCCGTCAGGAGCTGAACATCATGGTGAGTCCTCAAGCGTCGGTTTGAGGGCCAGGTTTCAGGATTTGGGTTTTCCACTTCAAGCTTGGACATTTCCAGCTCTATGCTTCAGAGTTTTGTCACGGTTTACCCACACATATGTCTTCGCAGCGCCCGTACTTGCGGCGTATTCTGCCCCGTATTCTGCCCCTAAGCCCTAAACCTTAAACCTTAAATCCCACACCCTAAACCCCTAAACCCCCAAACCCTGAACCCTAAACCTGGAAACCGTAGTTGAACCGTTCAGGGCTCTTAGTATTCACAGGAGTGCGAGACCTTCGAGTTCATAGAGATGGAGGAGGTTCTGAATGCTCCTCAGCTTTTAGGTTGAAGGTTTAGGGTTTAGGCTTTACCTTAAGCCGGAATAACCTACCTTTTTCGGGTTCCTTATGATGATTTCCTTATATAAATCCTTAAAAAGGTAGGTTATTCCGGCTTAAGGTAGGGTGGTTTAGGCTTTCGGATGGTTTAGGGTTCCCTTAAAGGGATCTATAAGAGGTCCTTTAAAGGGATCTATAGGGTTTAGGGATGCATGCTTTAGGGCTCCTTTAAAGGTTTAGGGTTTAGGGTGTAAGGCTTGGGGTTTTTGGGATCCTCTCTTCGGAGGTTCGCTTTGAGAGTTGAGTTGAGGGCTGGGGATTCGGGTCTATCCAGTTGAATCTGTTAGGTACGGCCCCCACTCAGTAACTGGGCTTTGGAGTACCATACTTTAATACTTTTTTCTTAAAGGAACCCTTGTGAAATAAAAGTTTATACTTTTTTCTCCCTGGTTACTTAAAAGCCCAGGTAATAGTTGAATAATATTCATAACACAGATATAGTAGGACCTTAATAGTAGCCCTATTATAGACTCTTGCTGTATGGGGGCCGTACCTAATGAATCTGTCAAGGAAGGTGTGGGGTTTACAGGGTTTACGTTTATAGGATTCATAGCGTTTAGGGTTAGCTGCAACATGTTGGATTGCCCTATGTGTTGTGCAGGGCTTTAACTTCGTGTAGGTATTTTCAAGGTTTCAGTTGCATCTGCGTTTTAGATTTGGGGGTTTAGGGACAGGACCAGGTACAATACATGTGGAGCAACCTGCGACTGTCATCCGGAACTACATGCTTTGGTTTCTGGCAAGAGTTGCAAAATCCCCCATGAACTGCCGAGAACCTCTGTAGAATGGCCCCCTAAATCCCGAGGGGCTTAACGCCGTAATTCCGTGATGCCGCTGCCTCCGAGGACGAGCAACTGTCGCCTTTTGGCCAGTGTGTGCTGCATGCTGCAGCCGACAATACAGCTGCCGCCGAGCCTATCGAGAATTTGCAGCTCGACAACGGGGGGTCCCAATGGAGCCCTTAATACGATAAAGGTTCCCCTAATATAGAACCGCAATAAGCTTAATAGTTGGAGTGCATGTTGCGACATGGACGAAGGGATGAAGGCGCGACTCGGGTATGGTATGCGTGTGTGTACGAAGTTGTTATGTTTAGGGCATCAACTTCGCAGCATTTGTCTAATTGGCACCCCTACTGGGATTTAGTTTTCCCAGAGGGCGTGCCCGGGCACTGGTATTTGTGACGATATTTCAATTTGCAAGTAGTTGTATGGTTGCGACTGGCCTCAGGGTTCCTATTCCTAGATTTCGCCAGTGCTACCTTGCCCTCACTTTGGGTCAGTCAACGGTGCTGACTAGGCTCAAACTTACTTGGCAAGAAACAGAAGCTGGAGTATTTAGCAATACCAGTACTATTCCGTCGATTCCTTAGATCAGCTTAAGTACAATTCACAAGCGTGTTCCAACTGTCCAGGCCCCTCGAATGTGGCGGACTTTGCCTTTGGAGCACAGTTGCAGAAGTCCGCTGCACCATGCTCAGATACCTTGAGACCCACGGTCAACATAGATGTCCGAACAATCAGAGATAGTGATCAACGTGCCCCGATGTACTCTTACAGCCCATAATGAGCGAGAACATACACCAAGACCTTAGTGAAGCTACTCAGGCCTGTAGAATGGATTTCTGAAATATCGGCTTCAGAAGTCAGGTTTAGCCACGACATCGGGAAGGACTCCGACATGTTCCGCTTGGAACGATGGTGAGCCACAATCCATCTGCTGACGGATCAGGATTTTCGGTTCAGGTTTATTTCTATATAAACCGTGGCTTCACGTCTTAGATTCCTTGTTACTGTTCTGTGCTCTAGGGAGACACACGTGCACAAACGGTCTCTGCAGAATTGTGTGTCTAAGACATAGCCGCGAGAGCCCACTACTCGCTGCGCCTAGGAAATTAGGGACTTTATGATGGAGGTGCAAATGAAGAGAAGAGAGAGAGAGAGAGAGAGAGAGAGAGAGAGAGACACAGACACAGAGAGAGAGAGAGAGAGAGAGAGCGGCAGAGAGAGAGCGAGAGAGAGAGAGGGCGAGAGAAAGAAAACGATAAAAGCGAGACCAACAGGGAGGCAGAGCGAAGGAGGGAAGTGAGGAAGAGGGAAGGGGAGAGGGAGAGGGAGAGGAGAGAGGACACAGCGACGGAGAGGGAGAGAGCAAAGGAGAGAGAGGGAGACGGAGAGAACCAAAAAAGGGGCTTCTTAGCCACAGTGAATGAGCAAAGCAAGAAGCCATCTTCTCCCAGTCGTTTTTTGGTGTTCTCGTGGAGGGATGTGCAATGGTTCAACCTGCAATTACATGGACTTATCGATGCAACAGAAGGGGCCTGTATTGTGCAAGTGCATCATGCCCAAAGGAAGAGTCTAGTCTCCCGTGTTAGGTTCTTTTCTTGGCAAGCCGACTTTCGATAGCTGACAGCAGCATTTCCGGCCCAGGGTTTAGAAATCTACGCAGGGCACTCTTCCTGGGTGCACGTCTGCGCATGCCATCAAAAATTGAGGCTGTAGTTGCCGAGAATAGTTCTCTTGCAGCTGATAGTCCCTAAACGGAGTCCTCAGACAAGACGCCCAGATGACATGTGCAGGCAAGACAATGCGAGAGCGTGGAGAAAAAATCCATGAGCTTGGATTCGAGTGTTGAGTTCTGAGTACGGAAAGCACGCGACCAAACTGCGGACACCAGACTTTTTCCTCGAGGTCCATCGCATGGCAGATTACCGTAAGTTCCTCAACAAGATCCCAGCATTGTCGGCTGAAGCTGCAGATTTCGGCAAATGCACCGTGGCAGGTGCTCTGCTGTGATTTGCAACTACCTAAGTATTTGCCAGCCAACTCATATGAGATCTACTTCGCACTTTCGGATCTCCGGATGCCTATAAACCCTTAACCCTACCTATAGTCTCCATTGTAGTTCCTTGTTTTGGTTGACAAATTTTATGGTTAGGATCCTATAATAGAGTTTTTTGCTTAACCAAAAATCGGAACTACAATGGAGACTATAAGTAAACCCTAAATCCCTCAATTAAGGAATATCCCTTAAATTATAGTAGGATCCTTAATACGATTTAAGGTATATTCCTTAATTAAGGGATCTTGGAAGGTCTGGGACCCTAGACCCTAAAGCCGCCTAGGCCTACTTGACTGAGAGTACGGTTCAGAGGGTTTGGACGTTTTTGGACCGGGGCTTTGTGAGTTCGAACAGTAGACCTGTTTCAAGCCCTGAATCAGCTTCAAACCTTACAGCCCATTCATACCCTAAACCCGAATCCTTAAGCCTTAAAACCTTCAGAACCCGAAGGCTTCTGTAGGCCGCAAGTCGTGCCGACGGAAAGGAGCCCCAAACAACAAAAAGCCTGCAGATCTCCTGCGGAGCAGCGGCCGCGCCGGCTCTCAGAATGTGCCAAGCCCAGCTGTCGCATCGGAGACACTGTTGTGCGGAGCGTGAGAATTTGCATGCTGCGGGTTTCCACGAGTCGCGAGCAACAGATTGAGCCAATGCTGTTTTGAGGTTTTTTTTATTGTAACTACGGTATAACGGCCCCAAAACCCTATCCTCACTATTAAGGCCTCTACCCAAAGGCCCCAAAGTAGTTCCTTTTGTGGGTTCATATATAGAATCCTATAGGGTAATCCCCAAAAGGAACTACTTTGGGGCCTCTGGGTACAGTAATCGCAAAGGTTTGGGCCTGCACGGCTATCTTGAGCAGCTGTGAGGAGGACCGGGGCCGAGGATCTTGAGCCCCCTAAAGCCGGAATCTTAAACTCTTAAACCCACTAAACCTAAACCTTAAGTAATCGTTTAGGGATCATGGGTTTCATGCTCCTATATAGGCAAAACTAACCCTAAACCTGAAATGGTCGTTTAGGGATCGGTGGTTTAATTTTCATGTTGGGGCGGTCGGGCTTCTGGATATTCGGTGGTTTTGAGTGTGTGGGGGTAGCTGGGGTTTCGGGCGGGATTGGGGCTCCGGTGGACAGAAATTAATCTATACTGCGAGTCCTAGATGCTGCCTGAAACTGTTTCCGTCTATGAGTGTGTAGAATTTCGGGCTCGTCTTTATGATTAGCGATTGAGGCCCCTATATCACAGAACCTTATAGTCACGGCCGTTTTACAGAGTCTTCTGCAGACCATTTCAAGGAACCTCAGCAGAACACTATTCAAATGATTGAGGCCCCCATAGTAGTCGGGTGCCAGATCCAACATGGAAGGTTGACGTGGAGGATTCGAAAACGAAGGCTTCAGTGGTAGAGTAACTAAGTAGCCCTTGATTTATAGCTGTGCGGAGAACTATAACCCCTACATAGGCCTGCAGGTCGGCCTTTTTCTCTGCGGGGAAAGGGTACCCCTATTTTCGGAAACTCCCATATTGCTGCTCACTGACTGAAAGAGAGATCTCTTAATCAGGGATCCTTACAAGAAGGACCTGCTATTCACTCCGTTCTCCCACGCCAGCGGTAGACGAAGGGTTTCCAGGTTAATGTAGGGGCCTCAATAGTTGCCTATATACTAGTGTTGGGGGGGGTCCTTATCGTATTTATAGTATAAGGGCCCCCAAAAAACGCTTTTCTAATTATGAAGGCCTCTATATATTACCTTAACCCCAAGTATATAACCTACCTTTTAAAGGACTTATATTAAACAAATCATATTACGGAGCCCTAAAAAAGTAGGTTCCTTAGGGTCCAGGTAGATTCTTCAGGCCTTGGTCTGGGTTCCGCCCACCCGAGCATAGCGACTTCAGGAGTTCCAGTGGTTGGTGGCGTGTCAGCTGCTTTCAAGCATGGTCGTACCCTGTCGCCCTTTGTGGGTCCTGGTTTAGGGTTTAGAGTTTGGAGTTTAGTGTTTAGGGTTTAGGGTTTAGGGTTTTGGGTTTATTTTTTAGGGTTTGGGGTTTAGGGCTTAGGATTTGTTATTTCGGACTTCACTGCGAAGCCTTCGGTGTAAGTGGCTCTGGGGAGAAGTAGCATTGAGTTTGGGCATTGAGGCCAATACCCAAAGCCCCTCCATGCTCCACGAGACAAAACTCGAAAGCTCTATACCAATGCCTGATACAATCCTTGCAGAACCAAGTCCCCCAAAAGGATCACTAAAAGATCATGAAATCCCAAAACCTCATAGCCCCTGCTAAAGAAGCGAAACAGGAGCTGTCGCTAAGGTCTCGGGCTTTGGGCTCTCGGGGTTTAGGGGTCATGGGTTTGGGATGGTTAGGGGTTTAAGTTTATGCGCTTAGAGTTTAAAGTTGATAAGGTGCAAAGGTGCGCCAACCCACAAGCACAAGGAGTACCTTACACAACCATAGCTTTCTTTTGCAGGATCCCCAAGGTAGACTTATAGGGGCCCTACAGAAGAACAAGTTTTGGTAGTTCTAGCTACTTATGGCATGATCTAAACCCTATTAACCCAAAACCTGCTCAGGTCAGCCGTGTGACACCAAATGTGCTAAGCTACAGCGCTGCAATGAGCGCTGCTTGGCGGCAGGGCCAGCAAGTTTTAGGAGTTAGGGCTTACCTGAACCCACCCGAAATCTGGCGGGGAGGGTGGGTTAGCAGCCAGGAGGCAGGGGATGTTGGAAGGCATCCGAATGTCGATATTGACTCCAGGGTGTATTCAAATTTCTAAACCTCCCGCCGAAAACCCGGAAGGTCCCAAGCTTGAGGTTCAAGACGTAGGGCGTGGGGAACTTCTTGAACCCGAGCTGCCCGAAGAAAAAATATACAATATATCTATAATGGATAATATCTAACTATCTATTCCGAAATGCTATTCGAATAAGCAAGGCGCCTATATTACAGTCACAAGTGCAAGCCTGCGACGCCGCCGAGGTTGCAGAGAAAGGTTTCCGGTGGCCTTTGGCGTTGGTACTCTTGGATTCTATGGAAGATCCCAGGACTTGGGGGTTCGGAGTTTCGGACTCCTCTCAGGGTTCCTTTGAGGGTTTAGGGTTTAGGCGGTTTAGGGTTTAGGGCTCCTGTGAGGGTTACCAGCAGTGTTGCTATAATGGTTGCTGCAAGGCTTAGATGCACTATGAGGCTGTTGCTGCTTTGGACCTTCTTCGGGCTTTGGATGGATGATGGGCTCAAGGTCTAAGGTTCTGGCTCACGAAAGCGCATGGGCTCACGGCTTTTGCAATTTCAGCTTTGGAGGTTTCGGGGTCTATTTGTTTTCGGGAGCATCTTTGGCCCTGGATAAGTGGTGATGCTGTGATCAGGGTCCTTGCTCTCGGTATGACCGGCAGTGCCGTTGCGTTCGCGCCTGGACTGGAGAAGGGATCCAGGGTAGGCGCAGATGAGGCTGCACCCAAACACATAGACAGTGGCGAATGCAGAACCCCAAGCCACTAGCGACCTGACTTCGAGTGTTTGGGCCCTTATATGCTACTTCTGCTCACTAAGCCATGTCCTCTTGCCCTGAATGTTAGGCTGTAAACCGATCGAATCAGTTGCTCAAGTCCCCGATGAGGAACACTAAGTTCACTAAGTGCCTGTCTCTGAAGGACCTCCACACCCCGGGCGAATGAAGTCAGCCCCTTGCATCCAGCCTTACTGTAAGGGATTGGGCCCAGCCAAAACCCCTAATCTCTAAATCCTGAACCCCCAAACCCCTGAACCGGACCACACCCGATGGATTTGGATTCTGGCTCTAAGGTTTCGTGGCTTGGGGTGTTGGATTCTGGGTTACAAGCTTCTTGGTTTAGGGCTTGGAGATTTGGGGTGCCGCGCCTTCCGGAGAGTATACAGAGTTTTGAAAAGGGTTTGGGGCTTAGGGTTTGGGGCACAATTACCACCCAAAACCTTGTTCTAAACATTAAGGCCGACTTCTAATCTATTAAACCCAAAGGCTCCATGTACCCATATAGTAGGTACTTAGGCCTTAAAGGGGTCCCTATATGGTTACTTTAAGGCCTAAGTACCTACTATATGGGTACATGGAGCCTTTGGGAAAGCACCCATTATATTGAATCTTCTTGTTGAGGGGACTTGAACTCGTGGAACTCGGAAAGATCTTCTCGCGAGCATAGTTTGCACCAAAGCCCAGTCTAGTGATTGAGGCCCATTTGTCAGGCTTTGAATTAGACTTTGGAGCATGTAGAAATATTTTTTAGTTTTTGGTTATTATAATCCCTGAGAAACAGCTAAAATTAGACTTTTTGCTAGGGTTCTAAGTTCAGTATAGTAGATGTTCTGGCAGCGCGGCCCGCTCTCTGCCCTCTTGGGCCCCGGCCCGGAGTCTTGTATCTCTACAGTAAACTTCATAAAGTTGAAAGCCGGATTAAGGCCAAATGGTGCTGGGATTCCCTATATATTACTCTTAAGGATTGAGGCTATGGGGTTTCCAACTTTTTGGCTTCTACTGTAGCGTTTCGCAGGGGTTGTATACTTTTGTTCTCTCTCAGCCCCGGGCCTGCATAGATATACAAGAACTGTATTTTGGGGGGGTTCTTTTAGTAGGATTATAGTACAAAATACTCACCACTATTCTAAATAATAAGGCGCTTGTATTACATCCCAGAGACTGCGAGGTTTCAACACGGGCATCAGCGCCTGTGAGAAAGGTAGGGCGGGCTTCGGTTCCGGCAGTTTTGTCCTGAAGTTGAAGAGATGAGCCTGGCTTGAGGAAGCTGCATTCAGCTCTTGGGGGGTTTGTGCTTTCGCCTCTGCCGGCGTTTCCGAATCTGGAAGGGTGCGAGTTTGCAAGGGAGAAGGGCCGGGCCGGGGTTCGGCTGTACAGCGTTTAGGTTGAGGTTCAGGTCGTGAAGTCAGTCAGGGCGGTACGGCTGGGTCGTAGGCTTAGGATTTGTGCCTGTAGCCCCTCGGACCCTTCGGCTCAAAGTATGCGTCCAAGACCTTCGAGATGAATCGGCAGGGTTTGCAGCATTCACTTCTCAACCCTTCCTAAACTTAAAACCCGACACCCTAAGCCCTAAACCGCAGCAGGCTCTAATTGGCTTCTGGCCCTGGAGTTGTTGGTCACCATGGAGGACTCGTCTTTTTTCTGTTGGGGTGTAGTATTTAGTGTTTAGATTTGGGGCTGTTGGTGTAGAGTGAAGGATTTAGAGTTAAAGGTGCGCAATGTGCTCTCTATAGGGTTCAGAGTTGATGGGCCGGGCTTGTTTCGCTGCTTTTGACAGTTCATTAAAAAGACGAGATGTTTGTTGCTCTATTGGCGAGGAGGCGAGGACTCAATGGCTTAAAGAGCCCAGTATAGAAGAGCTTGCGAGCCTATGGCTGGAGCTATGTAGTGGTCTGCAGCAACTAGGGTCCTTCGAACGTTGCTTACAGTTTAAAGTTGCACGTTCTGAAGCTCTCTCTCTCTCTCTGTCTCTCTCTCTCTCTCTCTCTCTGTCTCTCTCTCTCTCTCTCTCTCTCTCTATATATATATATACACATATGTATGTATGTATGTATGTGTATATATATATATATATATTTATATTTATATATATATACAGTGACATACATATATATATATATATATACATATACATAGACATATATACACACACATTGTATGCATGTATTGTAATGTAATGTAAGGTAAGGCAATGTAGTGTACTGTAATGTACTGTAACATAACGTCATAGATTGTAATGTAATGTCATGTCATGTAAAATAATGTATAATGTAATTAGTTTATGTACGTATGTATGAATGGGTGAATGCATGTATATACATGCATAAGGCTGCGGTTTTTAAAGAAAGCACGGCTTGATCTCTGCAACAAAGTGAATCCCCGAGCTTGCGCTGCCACCAGCAGTGATCTCAGACCTCGTTCCGGCTCTCCCAACCCTCTCCCAGCCCTCTCCCAACCATGGAAATGTAGATCTTCGCCGGGTGTGCGCACTGATCATGCTTCGCAACAGCTGATTCGTCAGCTTCCGTATGGCAGGGGTAAACCTTAAACCTAGAACCCTACGTAGGCCCTAGACCCTGTCGATGAGCTACAAAACCTTAGAGTATGTAAGTTGTTTCGTCTTCTAGTAGTTCTGTAGTGACCTTACCCAAAGGCCCCCAAGTAGTTCCTTTTTGGGGTTCATATATAGAATCCTAATAGGTAACCCCAAAAAGGACCTACTATGGGGCCTCTGGATATGGCAGTCAACCTTTCTCCTGGTCCCACAAGTGTCTCGCCGACATCCGTCAGAGTCTGCCATTCCTCCGGCCCTGAATCCTTACTTGCACTCTGGACGCCGATCTGAGTTCGGCCCTGGATGCTCATAGTGCCATAAAGCGCCATGACACCAAAACCTTAATCCCCCAAGGCCCAAGCACCCAAACCTTGGCCTAAAGCGCCACCACCCCAAACCCTGAATGCTCAGGACTTCAGGGCACTGATCTTAGCATTCAGGGAGATTTGTCCTGCAAAGCCATGGCCGATGGCATAGCGCACGGGGCCAAGCAGGTCGTGAGCGTTCAGTGCCTGGCAGGTTGCAGCTTTGAGGGGTTTAAGGTTTTAGGGCCTTTAGGGTTTTAGGGTTCAGGGTTTAGGGTGTTAGGGTTGGGGTTTAGGGTTTAGGGTTTAGGGTTCATGGCCTGGCAGGTTCCAGCTTCGAGTTGGAGGTCAACTCAGCTGAAACGGGGTGGGATGTAGCGGTACGCATCGCAGCCGGAGTTGGCCACCCTCCAGAGTTACTCGCGCTGACATCAGGTGGCTGTGTCATCGATCAACATCAGCAGCTGCTTCATCAAGTCCAGCACGAAGAGATCACGTATCTGGTGGTGCGGAAGTTTGGTGCAGGTCGTGTCGCGATGCTTTGGGAGCGCCTATTGGCGGAGAAGACTCCGACTGATGTACCAGTAGCTGCCCTGAACGAAACGATGTCACTGACATGGGAGTCCCCTCAGAGGCTCAACCAGGACATCCAACTACCCAGCAGTCTGCAGAGTATTACATTCGGTGACAAGTTCAACCAGCGCTTGGAGGGTATCCAACTACCCAGCGGCCTGCAGAGTTTGACGTTTGGCTTGGAGTTCAACCAGAGCTTGGATGGAATCCAACTACCAAGCAGCCTGCAGAGTTTGAAGTTTGGCCAACGCTTCAACCAGAGCTTGGATGGCATCCAACTACCCAGCAGCCTGCAGAGTTTGACGTTTGGCAGGGAGTTCAACCAGACGCTGCAGGGGATCCAACTACCCAGCGGCCTGCAGAGGTTGATTTTTGGCTTGGAGTTCAACCAGAGCTTGGATGGCATCCGACTACCCAGCAGCCTGCAGAGTCTGACGTTTGGCAGCAGTTTCAACCAGAGCCTGGAGGGTATCCAACTACCCAGTGGCCTGCAGAGTTTGACATTTGGCTGTTTCTTCAACCAGAGCTTGGGTGGCATGCAGCTACCCAGCAGCCTGCAGAGTCTTACATTTGGCGACAAGTTCAACCAGCGCTTGGAGGGTATCCAACTTCCCAGCGGCCTGCAGAGTTTGACGTTCGGCTATGACTTCAACGAGAGCTTGGATGGTATCCAACTACCAAGCAGCCTGCAGAGTCTGACGTTTGGCAACAAGTTCAACCAGAGCTTGGAGGGTATCCAACTACCGAGCAGCCTGCAGAATTTGAAGTTTAGCGCTATCATCGACCAGAGCTTGGGTGGCATTCAACTACCCAGCTGTCTGCAGAGTCTTACATTTGGCGACAAGTTCAACCAGCGCTTGGAGGGTATCCAACTACCCAGTGGCCTGCAGAGTTTGACGTTCGGCTATGACTTCAACAAGAGCTTGGATGGCATCCAACTACCCAGCAGCCTGCAGAGTTTGACATTTGGCAGGGAGTTCAACCAGACGCTGCAGGGAGTCCAACTACCCAGCGGGCTGCAGAGTTTGATGTTTGGCTTGGAGTTCAACCAGAGCTTGGATGGCATCCAACTACCCAGCAGCCTGCGGAATCTGACTTTTGGCAACAATTTCAACCAGAGCTTGGAGAGTATCCAACTACCCAGCGGCCTGCAGAGTTTGAAGTACAGCACTGTCTTCAACCGGAGCTTGGGTGGCATTAAACTACCTAGCAGCCTGCAGAGTCTAAAATTTGGTGACAAGTTCAACCAGCGCTTGGAGGGTATCCAACTACCAAGCGGCCTGCAGAGTTTGACGTTCGGCTATGACTTCAACAAGAGCTTGGATGGCATCCAACTACCCAGCAGCCTGCAGAGTCTGACGTTTGGCTACCAGTTCAACCAGAGCTTGGATGGAATCCACCTACCAAGCAGCCTGCGGAGTTTGAAGTTTGGCCAACGCTTCAACCAGAGCTTGGAGGGTACCCAACTACCCAGCGGCCTGCAGAGTTTGACTTTCGGCCAAAGGTTCAACCAGACGCTGCAGGGGATCCACCTACCCAGCGGCCTGCAGAGTCTGACGTTCGGCTATGACTTCAATCAGAGCTTGGATGGCATCCAACTACCCAGCAGCCTGAAGAGTTTGGAGTTTGGATACCTCTTCAACCAGAGCCTGCAAGGCATCCAACTGCCCATTGGCCTGCAGAGTTTGAAGTTCGGCCAACAGTTCAACCTCAACCACATCTTGGATCCCACCGAACTACCCATCACTCTTGGCAGTTTCGTTTCACGTTTTTTTGGTGTAGCCACTTTTTGAGCAGTGATGTATCAGGCAATATCCGCGATTTTTCCTTTTCTTCGATTATTTCGCCCGCCTGAGCCGGGGAGTAGCACGACTGCGCTCTGTGTTGCCGAGGTTCCTCCTTTTTTGCCCGTCTGGCCGGGGGGCGGTTGGCGGGGTGTTCCTCTCTCGGTGGGTTTTTGCCCCGCGTGCCTCGAGGGCCACGGTTTTCCCACCTGTACTCTTTCGCCCTATTATTTACACAATTTTCGTAAATGAGCTTTCAAAGTGCCAAGCATGAAGCTTGCATCTCACCGCCCCAATCCATCTTGAAGCCTGCAGCTTGCACTCTCGCCTCGAATCACTCCCTCAATCAGAACCTTTCCCTGGATTTGCAAGATGATTATGACTTAAACATTAAACCTGAAACATCATCACTAAAACCTTGGGGCTAGTGCTTAAGCCGCGTGTCTGCCAGGCAGCGCGCCTCCGCAGCGACGCCGTCGCTGCCTCTGCCGTCCTGGCTGCATTGGCAGCAGGAGGCATGGCCCAGAGGCAAGGTGAGCAACATAGGAGCCTTTGGGGTACTTATTTGGTTATTATAATAATAATAAAAAAATAATAGTAATAATAATAATAGTAATATTAATGGTTAATTTTTGGTTATTATAATCCCTAAGAAACAGCTAAAATCTTATTTTTTGCTAGGGTTCTAAAGTTCAGTGTAGGAGCCTTACTAGTTTGGACAGGGTTCTGATGTCTATTGTACTAGTTACGTTCAGGATCCTTAAGGCTGTTCTTTAAGGTGAGGCGCTCGGGGATTCCGGTCATCCGTTTAGGCCATTTCAGATTAAGGGTGTGTAAGGATTTTGCTGTTCCTGGACAGGGATCCTTGGCGTCCAGGCAGTTTTGCAAGTTGGGTTCTGCAGCTTGTATGTTTAGTGGGTTTTACAGCGATGGATTGAATCCTTTGCCGGAAGTGAGGTGCGAAGTCTTTGGAGGTCTCTCCTAGTTGAGGACCTAGCCCCCGGACGCCTGCAACAGGAGTCTGAAGTCTCGTTTGAGACCCGAGTTCTGCTTAGTCTTACTCCTGGAAAAGTTTGCAGAAGCCAGAAATGGAACGGAGCAGAGAAGGGTCAAGATGCATACAGCAGGAGCTGAGTGGGCCCAATGCATCCCAGAGCCACGTACCCTGAACGGCACTTGGGCCCCGTCCCACGCTTCACACCAGCACACGTGCAACACCCGGACTCCGCAAACCAGAAGATCGCACGTCCAAAGGCAGTGTCGATTCTGGAGGAGTCTCGGATGCTCACTCACCATGAGCATCCAAGACTTTGGAAAAGCTGGGTCGTTTGCCCGATCACAATGGCAGCAGCAGAGATGACAAGGACGGTTACAGGGAACCTTGCTGGCTTGAGAACACAGTAATAGAGGGGCCTAAGTAATTACCTATATTGGGGGGTTCCTTGTTATAGTTATAACATAATGGGCCCCCAAGACCCTATTCCAATTATTACGGCCCTAGTAGTACACAGCATCTTTTCGTACCTGGTCTTCATCGCCACAGTCGTCGCTGTGGGTCACCCTGCTCGTCTATCGTTGGTCGTAAAACTCATGTCGGTGTAGGTGATGAGACAGTACAAGCAGTAGAAGTATGTCGCAGTAGGGATAGCCGTACCAGTTGCAGGAGCAGGAGCAGCAACAGCAGCAGGAGCAGTAGCAGTAGCAGTAGAAGTAGCTGGTTGAAGGTAGAAGGTAGAAGTAGGAAGTACTTGGAGCAGAAGCATAGCATTGGCAGTGTCAGCGGCAGCTTCACTAGCAGTGGCGTTGGCGGTACCAGTAGAAGTGGAAGTACCATTAGTAGTAGTGGTCGTTGTCGTGGTCGTGGTTCTGGTCGCAGTGGTTGGTGTGGTGGCAGTGGTGGCAGTGGTGATCGTCGTCGTAGTAGTAGGGGTAGTAGCAGCAGCAGCAGCAGTAGTAGTAGTAGTAGGAGTAGGAGTAGGAGTAGGAGTGGGAGTAGGAGTAGTAGTAGTAGTAGTAGTAGTAGTAGCAGCAGCAGGAGTAGTAGTAGTAGTAGTAGTAGTAGTAGCAGCAGCAGCAGCAGGAGTAGTAGTAGTAGTAGTAGTAGTAGTAGTAGTAGTCGTAGTAGTCGTGGTAGTAGGAGTAGTCGTCGTCGTCGTCGTAGTGGTAGTGGTAGTGGTAGTGGAAGTGCTAGTGCTATTGCTAGTGGTAGTGGTAGTGGCAGGAGAAGCAGCTGCAGCAGCAACGCCAGCACCCAGAGAAGTAGCAGCAGAAGGAGCATTAGAAATCCAAGCAGTTTGAGTATAGTAGTGCAGTGTGCATGAACAGACGTTGCTCGAAGAGTAAGACCAGGCCAGCCTAGGACCGCGTCACTGGCACGCATGATGTCGCTCACTGACGGACTCAATGATGCTCAGCGGCCATCAACAGTTCCCCAGTACCTGATGATGCCTGTCTGGGAGTATTTGGAGCATGAGAGCACTGATGAATGGCGGCCCGTTGCAGAAGGCTCTATGGGCAGGATTGAAGCTGCCTACCAATCAGGCAGGTCAACTTGCACAGTGACTTCTTGTGCGTACTCTTACGATGTGGATCTGCGCGGACTGGTACAAACCAACACGAAGACCGGAACACGGAGGAAAATTCGACGACGGGTCATCGTGGACAGCGAAGCCGCGCAAAAGGTACTGGAGCAAATCGGTTCGAGTGAGGCAGAGTATCAGGATCTCCAGTGGCAGCTCGAGAATTTGGAGCAACTCTATGAGCTTGCGTTGGATGAAACAAGCCAGCAAGATGCAGCACATCAGCGTCTACAGAAGGAGCAAGACAACCTCGAGATTCGGTGCCAGGCGCTCGAGTGGCAGCTCGAGAATCTGGAGCAACTGTATGCACTTGCATTGCAGGAGCTGGCAGAGTCACCGTGTCCAAGCGTGGGTCTCTGGCAGAAGTGCAGGGAGCAAATAAACCAGGGCAATCTCATGCAGATGCTAGTGGCGTGTATGTGGACATGGATGACACGCTGGATGTCTCCAATCGTGGGTCTCTGGAAGAAGCGCAGGGAGCAAGTGAATCAGCGCAATCTTACCCAGATGCTAGTCGCGTGTATGTGGACATGGATGACACGCTGGATGTGTCCAAACGTGGGTCTCGAGAAGAAGTGCAAGGAGCAAGTGAAGCAGGGCAATCTCCTCCAGACGCTAGTCACGTGTATGTGGACATGGATGACACACTGGATCGGTTTGTGTGCGGGTCAAGATCTTCAGCGGCAGCTAGCGAATCTGAAGCAACTCTACGAGGTTGCGCTGGATGAAAAAAGTCAGCTAGGTGCAGCACATGGGGATCTACAGGCTGAGCAAGACAATCTGGAGAATCGGTACCAGGCTCTCGAGTGGCAGCTCGAGAATCTTGAGGAACTCTATGAGCTTGTGTCGGATGAGCAAGACGCTCTCGAGAAGCGGTGCGAGGATCTGGAGAAGAAGCGCATGGAGCAGGTGAAGCAAAAGAACCTCATCATGCTGTCTGCCTTGCCAGATGTGGAAACTCTCGCCAGTACAGCACTCTGCAAGCGATACTTCGAACAATCAGTGCCCTCTGATTCGCCGAAGTGCCATGCTCTGCGTGAGATGTTCGAGGCATCGATGACAAGCCATCGGCAAGGCTTGGGGTCTGATGTTTGGTGTGAACCTCCGGCAGCAGAGATTACTGCTATCTATGAAATCGTGAACCCTACCATGTTGGCCAAGTACAAAACAGCCAGACAGGAAGTTATTCAGGGGCACTTGGAAACATTTTTAATTGTTTAAGTTTGGCTTCTACCGGTATAGTCCCTACGGAAACAGCCATAACTGTAACTATGATTTCTGCAAGGGGGCCAAGTTCGGTGTAGGTTCGGGAGCGAAGCTGGGATGGCTGCACACCTCTGCAAGGCATCGCCGCGATGAAATGCGGCGTTGAAGACGGACACGTTGAGTTGAACGAGTACTTGCTCTTCCATGGCTGCTCCTGGGAAGCTGCAAAGAAGATCAAAGAGCAAGGTTTTGATGCGCAGAGAGGCGCAGAAGGAGGCGCGATGTTCGGCTACGGCACTTACTTTGCACAGAATGCTTCCAAATCTGATGGCTACACATGTCAGGATTTCTCGACTTCAGAACGATGTATGTTGGTAGCGCGCGTTCTGCTAGGAGAGAGCATGATTGTAACCACCTCACCGTTTCACCATGGAAAGCCCAAAAGCAGGGCACCAGAGCGTGAGAACGGCCAGCCCTACGACTCCATTTCTGCACAGACGAGGGCACAAGGGGGTCGTGTAGATCATATGGAGTTTGTGATCTTCAAGGATCAGATGGCATTGCCGCAGTATGTTATCCACTACCGCCATAAGTGCGGGTGTAAGTGTCACACATGCTGCCGGTAATAGCAGGCAAGTTGCCACCCCAGAGTCGCCGAGTTTTGACAAGGACTGCGCAAAGGAACAAGCTGAATCTGGTGCCGGATTGCCGGTACTTCGTTGTAGCTGCATGGTCTAGTGCAATCAGGTGGTCGTGCGAGAACGCTTGTGTCGTCTCTCTGCGCTGGATGAACTCAGCGGGTCTAGTCTCTTCTCTGCCAACGTCCCCCACACCCCTCAACGCCACACCCCTATACACCCTGAACCGGTAAACCGCTAAGGCCTCAAGCACCCCAAGCTAAGCCTGAACCCTTATTGATATTTAATTAGCCCTGACTCTCTTGGATATGTCGTGCAGAGAGCTCGTCGTGTCCGATGTCTTGGACCTCCATGGCTGCAATGCACTGCAAGGGTTTATTGGGTTCAGCGCTTTAAGCCTTTGGGGGTTTAGGACTTGAGGGTTTTAGGGTTTATGGTGTCCAGGGCGTCTGGCTGGTTCGGTTTATTTATAGTTTAACCATTATCCACTCTCAAAAGTACTTTCCAGCACAGCTCAGAAACCCAAAGATGCATTCACCGAAACGCTGAAGAAAGAAATGAAGCCGCATGTCGCCAGGGCGAAGCGTTTCTTCCGCAAGGCACAGCAGAGACAGGCACGCAAAATGCGTGTTCCATAGGGTCCTGAACAGTTCTTAGGGGTACTTAGAAATAGTTTTTAATTTTTGGTTATTATAATCCCTAAGCAACAGCAAAATTTATAATTTTTGCTAGGGTTCTGATTCTAAGTTCAGTATAGAGTTCTCAAAGCTATTTCAGGGTTCTTTTCTTGGATTTGCCACTGGTAGCAGTCCAAGCTCTAGATACCCAAGAAGCATTCGATGCTCCCAAGATCCATCCGATGAGTCCAAAATGCGTACAGCACTATGGGGTGGGGGGTCGGAGGTGTGGGAGAGTAATATAGGGGCTTAAATAATTACCAACACTATTCTGGGGTTTCTTACTATAACTATAGTATAACGGCCCCAGAACCCTATTCTAATTATTAAGGCCCCGATATTAGGCTGACTTCGCAATCGCCCTGTTTTGAAGCTCTGCCTCTCAGATCGAGCCGAATGCTGTGAGCTTCGGCGCCGTCATATCGGCCTGTGCCTCTTGGCAGCAGGTTGTGGACACTTCGGAAGTAGCGTGTCTGAAGTCATCGAAACTGGGTAGACACGATCACATCTGGTTCAATTTCAATTCCGGTCGTCCTCGGGCGGGACGTAGGTTCATAGCTTTCTTTCTCCGCAGCCACGACATGAGAGCCTGCAAGAGGGGGTGTCATTGCGAGTCCCGGCCTTGAACCCGAGCCTAAATACCAGCCAACAACTCGCAATACTGGCATTGCCCGCAACTCTCGTCTGTGTTGGGAATATAATTGGCCCTGTCTTCTGAGCGATTCATTTACGGAAAATGCTTTCCTTAACCCCAAACGCAGTAATTACACCGGCCCCCACAACAAGAGTCAAATGCAGATTGCCCCAGGAGAAGGCCAGCGATTGGCGCGCAGCCGCGGACTATCTGAGAGCTTCGTGGAGCCAGCTCCTTGGCATGCAAAGATGGATAAGGGTTTAGGGCTCAGGATTTAATGCAGTATTCGGGGATTTATACTGTACAAATTATAGCGACGTCACGCGACGTCACCTCGAAAATCTCCGAAATTAGCGACCGCATGCGTCCCATATTATAAGCCAAATTAGCCACGCAATCCCCAGATACTAGATAGGGTCTTGTTCCTGCTGAAACCGGTTTGGCATCGCCGGCATCCCCCTTTCAGCTTCGGCCAAACTCGTGATTGCCGAATCCGACCCCCCAAAACGCCCTATCTGGCTCAGATAGGCTTGTTTTGGATTTTGGTGCTTGCGTTTCGACCAAATTCGTGATTTTCTAATCCGACCCCCCAAAAAAGCACTATCTGGCTCAGATAGGCCTGTTTGGGGTTTTGGTGCTTGGGTTTCGGCCAAAATCCGACCCCCCCCCCAAAACGCCCTATCTGGCTCAGATAGGCTTGTTTTGGGATTTTGGGGCTGGGGCTGCGGCAAATTTCGTGATTTTCTAATCCGACCCTGCAGAAAGCCCTATCTGGCTCAGATAGGGTTGTTTTCGGTGTTGGGGCTTGGGCTTCGGCCAATTTGGTGATTTTCTAATCCGACCCCCCAAAAAAGACCTATCTGGCTCAGATAGGCTTGTTTTGGGTTTTGGTGCTTGGGTTTCGGCCAAATTCGTGATGTTCTAATCCAACCCCGAAAAAGCCCTATCTGGCTCAGATACGCTTGTTTTGGGATTTTGGGGCTGGGGCTGCGGCAAATTTCTTGATTTTCTGATCCGACCCTGCAGAAAGCCCTATCGGCTCAGATAGGCTTGTTTTGGTGTTGGGCGTCGGCCAATTTCGTGAATTTTTAATCCGACACCAAAATAAGCCCTATCTGGCTCAGATAGGCTTGTTTTGGGTTTTGGGGTTTGGGCTTCGGCTAATTTCGTCATTTTCTAATCCGACCCCCAAAAAAGCCTTATCTGGCTCAGATAGGCCTGTTTTGGGTTTTGGTGCTTGGGTTTCGGCCAAATTCGTGATTTCTCATCCGACCCCCCAAAAAGCCCTATCTAGCTCAGATAGGCTTGTTTTGGGATTTTGGGGCCGGGGCTTCGGCCAATTTCGTGATTTTCTTATCCGACCGCGCAGAAAGCCCTATCTGGCTCAGATGGGCTTGTTTTGGGATTTGGGGCACAGGTTTCGGCTGCTGCTGCTACTGCTACTGCTACTGCTACTACTACTACTACTACTGCTGCTACTGCTCCTGCTCCTGCTCCTGCTCCTGCTCCTGCTCCTGCTCCTGCTCCTGCTCCTGCTCCTGCTCCTGCTCCTCCTGCTGCTGCTGCTGCTACTGCTACTGTTACTACCACAACTACGACTACAACAACTACTACTGCTACTACTACAACAACTACAACGACGACGACTGCTGCTACTTTTACTATCGCTACCACGACGACTTACCACTTTTGCTACTACTCTTAGCCACACAGCCCTAGGCCCGCTAATTTCGATTTGGAATTAAATAGCGACCGCTACGGAAATTATCCGCGACGTCACGCGCCTAGTTTCGAATTGTAATTATTATAATTTGCGCAGTTTATAGGGCCTAAGTAGGGTTTCGGAGAATTGGGTCGCCAACTTTACCAAAGTCTCTTCATCGAAGCCTTCTCCTATATGTATGATTTTGGACACGTGCGATTTTTGCCGAACCTCCGAAGCCCGAAAGTTAGAAAGGCAACCGCCCTACAGGCAAGCAGAGAAGCCGCATGGCATGCCTGACCCTCGGGATCAAAATAGCCCCAAAGCCGAAAATAGTATGGTCTTTGGGCCCAAAAGCCTTAACATATGAGTCCTTAGATCCCTACATTGAGGAGTTTCAGAACAGTTGGCTCCCAAACAGGCCCCTTTTGTACATAGTAGAAACCATGTCATGAAGACCGGGGTCTGGCCTTGAGGCTTTATAGTTGATGGACAAAGTACTGCATGACCCTAAGGACTCTAAACTATGGGAACTATGGTATATATCTTATACTGGGTAATGCAGGATGTTGTCCATCGATGGTAGGGTTTCTAAAAAGGATCTGTGCAGGGAATGCCAATAGGTTTTTTCAGAGTTCCATGTTGCTTTGAACTTTGAAATCCACCTTGGAACACTTCGGAGCTATTGGAAGCTCAGAGGCACCTCGCCGACGAGACTTGTCACAACGCTGCTCTTGCAGCCTGCTCCCGCGCAGTCTGGACAAGGCTCTCGGGTTTAGGGCTTCAGGGGGTTCTTGAATTTAAGGCTTCCTTCGATATTTTCAATATAAGGGTTCCTTTTAGAGGTCTCTGTAGGGCTTTGGGGTTGAGGTTTGCAGGATTTAGGGTTTAGGCGTTGTGGATTCAGGATTTTTGGGGGTTTTGGGCATGTATCGACAGCGGCTCTGTTCATGAACATGGTTTGCTTCCTCTGCGCAAGGTTATCGCAGACTTACCGTCCCGCATCATGCCTGGGTGCGTTAAGGTGGACAATGACTCACACAAGGAATTCGCATCTGTGATGGCTTCTTCCTTAACCACCTCTGAAGCCTTGCACAGGCCCTCAACGTGAAGCCTTCGACCTGAATTTTCACGCCGGCCTAACAACGCGAAGCACTAAATTCTACACCGAGTAATCCAAGACTCCAAACCCGAGCCGCGAAACAAAAACCATGGCCTCTCATATACTTAGCGCTAAGCCCGCAACCTGAACCATACGGTAGTTTCGGGAGGTAAGGAACCCGACTATAAACACCCAAGTAGGAGGGATGCTGAGTATAGCAGCTCGCTGACAGACTCACATCATTAGTTAAGCTGACATAAGGGATTCAGAAGAGTGTAATTATGTAAGGCTCCTTCAAGAAATCTTGGTGAGTCTTTATCTGGGGTTTCATACTAGTAACGCGCGCCCTACTTTGCATGTCTCTGGAGGTCCACCGGGCCCTCTTCGAGCAGCATGGCTGCGGGCAAAAGGGGGCCTCTGCTCTGCACGGCACCAGGGTTTGATCCTAGATTCACTTACCTTTGGGTAGTAGGGAATGGAAGAATGGTAGTAATTGTAGTTATAATTGTGCCCCATTCCTCCATGCCCTACTAACCAAAAGTAAGTACAGTGCAGGAGCTTCCAAGACTGCTCCTCCATACCTGAGCCCCTTTTTTAACTTCCCTAAACCCCAAGGCCGAACCCCAAGCCCTATAAGCCCTAACTCCTTGACCCCAAGCCCTCCCTTCGCATCCTCGGAAGGCCTAAAATAGAAGCCAACAAGATTGAGCATCACAACTCTCATGTTCTTCATGAAAAATACAGGAATTCCTTCATCGTCATGAATCCACGTTCCAACTTTTTGGGGTAAAAATACCCTGAACAACTTCGAAAACTGGTGAAGCACATTGACAGCCCGAAGCTCTGAACCCTAAATCCTTCCCTCCTCCAAGAGGTTCGGCTTCCGCCCAACGACTCCCACCGAGGCCAGACCGATTGATCTTGGGTTAGCTCTGGCCTTCACTGGGCCATAGGGCCTTTATGGTTGCTGTTCGGTTCTCGCTTGTGGGACTGTATAGGGCCGCTTTAGGTTTTTGTATAGGATCCTCCAGGGTTTGCGAGGGTAAGAATGCAAAGTAGCAATACACCCTTCTGCCTTTACGTGCGGTGCTTCTTCTGTATGATGTACTCATGGTGTACTCCAGGTAGGCTTGGTCTTTACAAGCCCAGGGGTTGAAACACCCAGGTTCATGTCCAGCAGCAAGACAAAAACAAGCATATTGCACTTCTAAAGACCACCAAGGACGCACAAAGACTTTCGATGTCTTTCAAAGGGTTTTACTAGCCGGGCGGCATGGTAACACTGTTGGGCATAGCCGGTTCCGTTCTCAAGTGCCGTCTGCGTGGTGCGCAGGCGCCTGCACCAATGGCCTACATTCCCGCTCTGGTGTCAGGAGCTGAGACGATGCCTTGGGAAGTCATGGTAGCACGTCTGAATCATTTTCCCGTAGTTTAGGGTTCTTGTCTAAATCCCAATCCCCAAACTTGAGCGCACGCGCAGACGAAAAGAGCACTTGAGAAAACACAGAGAAAAAGCCTCGAAGCTGTGCTTTACCGATGAAGTTTGGATGCTCCCGGAGAGGTAAGCACAAACAGGTTCATATTGTCCTTGCAATACCTCAATTATGCTGAGCTCCACACCATAGAAACCTGAGATCTGACTCAAAAGCATATGCCCTACCTGCCTACCACCTACCTACATACCTGTTGCTACCTGCTATTTACCTGCCTGCTTCCTGCCTTCCTACTTCTTGCGATCTATCCTTGGATCTAAGGGCAAAGGCTTAAGAAGACCCAACCCGGTCTGAAGATTCACCAGAGCCCGAGTTCGAAACCCTAAGCCCTAAACCCTAAACCGTGGCTCTTCAAGCCTGAGAGTCCCGACAGCACCCTAAACACTGCGAAGTCTTGCGTAGACCCTGAAATAAGACCCCTTGCAACCCTACAAAATCCTAAGCCCTAAAACTGTAGACAACTACAACCCTCAATCCCCTTGCAGCCCGGTTCAGCACTGGAGATACATGCTGTGTTGAGGTTCAGGGCTTGGGGATCTTACCACTTTGAACACTATGGTGCCGAATTACACTTGTTTCGAGACTTAGTTCAACCTCCAAGACCTTACTACGACTGTGAGTTAAGGTCGCACGCTTACCCGCGCAGCTGCGCAGCCCCAGCAGGCGTGCAACATGTTTCCCATCTTTCATCGGCATGAGTTCTGATGGACCTTAAGTTTCAAGTAGTTGATGATGGTGGCACGACAACTGAGAGGGCTCGTGATCGGAGTAGGAGTCGTGATTCGTGAGATTTTTGCCTCAACTCAACTATGCACTTCGATGTCTGTCAGTGTTGATTTGATGTGTCGGATGGTCATGTCGTCTGATACAGATACAGTGCAAGCCCTTTTCGGGCAGGCGCAGGACTCGCTCAGGCGGAGAAAGGGCCACTGCATTTAAAAAAATAAGTTTCAAGTACCCTAAGAAATCTGCAACAATCACAGCACTGCTCCTGGCATTTTGGTTTCAGATAGAGAGCCTGTGTTAGTGAAGCCCAACAGGATGGAAGTCAGTGTGAGATTGTCCGATTCCGAACCTGTAGGGGCCTTAATAATTATAGTAACCAGACTGGGTGCTGAGGTTCATTTACTACAATCATAGGAGATTATGCGGAGACCATACGGGGAAAGTGCTCCTGCTCGGCTTGCGTGTTGCTAGTGCCGCGTCCCATCTTGGGCTTAATTACTGCTTTGCCGAAAATCCTACCAACTAGCAGGTTGCCATTGTGACCTCTTCAATAATCATGGGCTGTAGCCTCATCAACTAGCAGGTAGATGGTTGGATTGCAGTGTGACATGAAACCTGATGAGCTAAAGACTGTAGCTGCAAGGGATAACACTGGCTCAGGACACGAAGTCTACGAAAGTCCTTAATCTAGGGACGGGGATCTAAGGGGTTGTATAAACTGGTACTTCCCCCACTCTCCTCGGGCTCGCAAAACTTCCCTAGTACTGGTACCCTCTCCCCTTCAACCACCATCCCCTGGGGATCCTACTAGAAGTAGAGTTGAGCAGAAACGTAAGGCGCACGCAGACTTCTTATTCCTACGCAGTATAGGATCTATAGGGGGTTTTAGTGTTCAGGGCTTAGGGCACACAGAGCATCTTCCTCCCGAGACGTGCATCTGTACCTACACAAAACACACCCGGAAGTTTGGGCAGTCCCGTTTTTGCATTCTCCCGCCACGAGAGGTCAGCAATCGGCACAGGGCTGAGAAGCCATTGGATGCCGGTACATGCCGGTGCAGGTGACAAATCGGCTTGCGCGGCTGCGGGTTCTTAAGACTGAGGGAATGGGGCGGGGCAGTGTTTGGGTTTCTGGTGGAGTTGCCTCCACCTTGGTAGTGCTTTCAGAAAAATGCACCAAAGCCTTGAAGCTACAGCGGCACAGACGTATATGGGTCGTTGCCAAAATTGTGGTCCCTAATTGGGTATCCTAAATATTAGGTGCCGTGTTATAATAGGGACCCAGAAAGGGAGCATAACTTTGACAACCACCCGTATCACAATGGTACCTGCCAAATCCTGAATCCCTCACGACCTCAACGTCCGTAAGCTTTTGAGTACAGCCGGCCACCGATCCAACATTCCTAAAGGTTTCACCTTACAATAGCTTCTCCACCGAAGCCTTTCAAGCAGACATCCTGCGGACTGTACCGTAAAGTTGAGGGTTCAGGGTTTGTATAAGTATTTCCAAAGAACCTGAACTCAATGTCTGTGTTCAGGAATGCAGAAGCATGTAAAGGTAGAGCATAGGCGGATCCTCAGTATGATTTAGTTTGTGTTTCCTTTCCACGTTTTGCTCATGGATGCGTACTCTAAACCCCAAACTCCGAAGCGAAGCTAGAACCCGAAGTGAGCCCGAAACCCCACACCCCTAAACCCGAAATCCTATAAGCCCAAATGAAGCCTTAAACCCTATGAATCCTGCACTCTCTTTTGGCACGCGCATTGTCGGCTCGGGAGCGGGGCTATCTGGGAAGTCGGGGGAAGAATCCACTCGTCGGCGGCTGAGCAATTCGGATTGGGCTTCGGGTTTTAGGGCTAGAGGGTTTTAGGGATTTTGGGGTTTAGTGTTTTTTGGGTTTTAAGGTTTTTAGGGTTTAGTGCTTTTGCGGTTTTAGGGATTTTAGGGTTTAGTGCTTTTTCATTTTGGGGGTGTTAGAGATTTTAGGGTTTTTGTGCTTTTTAATATTTGGGTTCTAGGGGTTTTAGAGTGCTAGGGCTCCAGGCTGTTCGGGTTTTTAGGGCTTTAGGGTTTTAGGGCTTTAGAGACTTTTTGTTGGGGGATTCTCGAAACAGTGTGGTAAATCTAGGGAGCACAAAGCGCTTCTGGAAGTCTAGGCTGTCCAGGGCTCCTGGGGTCTAGGCCCAGCTGTTTGGGGTAGAGGGTCGTGGGCGTGTACCCTAGAGGTTTAGGGTTCAGGGTTCAAGGTTCAGGGTTTAGGGTTCGGGGTTTAGGGTTTAGGGTTTAGGCGGTTCAGGGTTTAGGGTTTAGGTTCAGCAGCTCCGGGCCGAGCAGTCTTTAGTGGAGCCAGCGGTTTTTTTAGTCAGAAAACAAACCACCAGCCCAAAGAATCCCATAACATTACGAAAATATGAAGTGTAACAGTTTTGGTAAGCCTTAAACGAAACCTTGAAGGAACCTGAAACGAACTTCAATCGGAACCCTAACCGGAACCTTAAACTTTGAAACAGAACCCTAAAGTAAGCGGAATTCTACAAAGAAGCCTAAACAAAGCCCCAAACGAAACCTTGAAAGAAACCCTCGACGAAACCCTAAACGAAACCTTAAACGGACCTCTAAGCGAAACCTGAAACGAAATCCTAAGCCCGAAGCCCGCGAAGATTTGGGCCTTGCCCGCGAAGTTTTTGGGCCTTGCCCGCGAGGCTTTGGCAAATCTTCGCGGGCAAGACCCGTTTTGGCGATTTTGGCCTTGCCTGCGAAGATTTGGGCCTTGCCTGCGAAGATTTGGGCGAGTTTGGCCTTGCCCGCGAAGATTTGGGCCTTGCCCGCGAAGATCATTAACATTTAGGGTGCTATGTGGTAGAGAGGTTCAGGGTTTTAGGGTTTAGGGTCTAGGTCCAGGTGTGTTGGTGTGGGGTAGAACATATAGCCTCAAGGCTGAATTCAAGTGAAGCCCTGAACCGAAGCCTTACGCGGTTCGTGCGTGTGCGTGCCTAAGCCCTAGAACCCTGTAGTCCGTCAGCCCTAAGCCCCTAAGCCGCGAACCCCTAGGCCCTAAACCCCTTAGCCCTTAGCCCCTAAACCTTAAACCCAATTCTTGCCACGTAGTCGCAGCGGCTCAGGTCCGAAGCCTTCTGAAAAAATGGCGATGACACTCGGCCTTGCTATCGATCGTCTGTAGGGTTTAGGGCCTACAGTGGTTTGGGGGGGGGGTGGTTTTTAAGGTCTACGTGGGGTTTAGGGGTATCGGATTTAGGGGTTTAGGGTCTAGGGGTTGAAGGTTTACAGGGGTCTGAGGTTTATCGGGGTTTGGGGTGTAGGGTTTATTTCGGCCTCTCATGGTCGTCTTCATTCAGCGATCAGAATTCACTCTGAATCTCGCATCCCAGAAGTCGTAAGAAAGGCTCATAAATATGTGTTACATAGATGAATGTGTGTGTACAGTATTATATATATATATATATATATATATATTCTACATATACTACGGTATAATATATTATTATATACTACATCTACACACACACACACACATATATATATATATATATATATATATATATATATATAATATGTATACACATACGCGCACGTACTGAATTTAAACCCGAGCCCTCGACTTCGACCCGTGTAGCCAGGCGATGCCAGGCGCTTTGAGCTTTTGATTACCCCGGCACGAATATTGGGTTGCCAAATGCTCTAAGTCCTATGATTCCTTTTTCGGGGTTTTGGCATGAAGTATCTTGACCCCATTTAGCCTGCTTCTTTAGGGACTTATGTAAGGAAAGCATAATAAGGATCCCTAAAAAGGTAGGTTCTTTTTAGGGTCCAGGTAGAGCTTCAGGCTTCAGGATTTTTGCTGCAAGAGTCTTGGGTCTTTCGGGGGGCGTGCAGCACTCGTAGATCCGAAGAAATTTCGACACTAAGCCCTATGCCCTAAACCCTGAACCCACATGCGTAAACCCTAAACCCCCAAGACGCATCCGTGGCGAGGAAATACTGCGGAGCCTACCTCATGGAAGCTCAGCTGTCTCAAGAGGGATCATTGGACAGGGCTGTTGTCACTTCTTGGGCCCTTTGGGGTTCAGAATCGGGGTACTTGGCCTTTGGTTCTGTAGACCCGGAGCCTTAGATCGTTAAGGGGTTGTAAGTTGCGGTTCCGGCATTTCTTGTAGGCCTTAAAACATCTTAAAACCTAAAGTCTAAAACCGGCATGAAGTTCCCGAAACCCTGCTCTTAACCCTAAAACCGGTATGATGTTGGGCCTTGAAAGCAAGAGGAGTTCGACATACCAAGCGTTTCAGAGGTGTTGCGGGTTTAGAATTTCATCTGCGAGGGCAAGTCAGTGCTTGGTTCAGGGTCTCATTTTGTAAATATTCCCATATCTGTACAGATATCTTTCCATCCATACTGTAACGGTTTATGGCTTCAGGATTTTAGGATTCAGGGCTTGAGGGCTTTGGGATTTTAGGGTTCAGGGTCAGAGGGCTTTGGGGTTCAGGATGTACGGCTTCAGGGTTTCAGGCAAAGTTGGGCTTGGGGTCTAGGGCGGTCCTTGCTTGCCTGTTGTATAATGCATGGCGACAGAATCCTAGCCCTAAGCCCAAAACCCTCAGCCCTAAACCCTAAGCTTGAACCATAAGCCTAAACCCCAAGACCCTCCAACCCTTTAAAGTTCCGGGTTTAGGCAAAGCTCAACCGCCTTAGTCCCGGAACCCCAAGTCAAGACTTGCTCTAACATCGCCTTTTCCAGAGCCAGCTAAGGCCGTCCTCGGCGGCAAGGACCGCAAAGATGTCCTCATTTTGCGGGTATTGCAGGTTGTGTTGTCCTAAACTTGTGGCATCAGGATCTTAGGATAGTTTAGGCTTATGGCTTACTGTTTAGTCTGTGTGACTGGCTTGTGGGTTTAGGGTTCAAGGTGTGTGTGTGTGTATCAATATGACGCATACATAAATGTATGCGTATGTGAGTATGTTATGTATATATACATGTATGTATGTGTGTGTGTGTCCGTTTTATGCATACATACCTACCTGCATGCCTACATGTATGTATAATTATGTACATACATACATACAAACATATGTACACACACACAGACAAACATACCTACATACACGTGCATGCAGACAGTAAAGCAGACACGGACAGACGGGCAGGCAGACAGGGAGACAGACAGACAGACAAGTTTGTATGACCGTATCCACGGAACAAGCACTGACTCAAGCCTTGCCGCAACCGTAACCAATTCTGGGATGTTGAACGAAGCCTTAACGTGAGCACAAGCAGGCCCACAAGCACGACACGCTGACGCAATCAAACCTTCAACTTTATCCTAAACCCTACACTGCATTGGTTGGCATGTGGGGTGCGCGGAAGTTGTGCCAGGGAGACTTGCATGCCTTGTCAAGTGCACGGCGCCTTGTTGACAAGTTCTCATGCCATGACCGGTTCCTTGAGTCCAGGGTTTACAAGAGTTCAGGTTAAGGATTGTGTGTCAGCGGTTGTGCTGAGATCCTTGCCGCTTCAATCCTGAACTCGAAAGCCCAATCCCACGTGGGTTCGGGGGCTTATCAGCCAAGCCGAACACAAACTGCATCCCCGACTCTGAAGCCACGAAGCCCTGAATCCTGAGCCTCTAGAGCTTGAGTCCCAAACCCGAAAGAAAGACACCTAAAATCTTGAACCCCGAAGCCCTGAAGCCCAGAACCAAACCCAAAGTCAACAAAGAATAGCACCCTATCACAGAGCCCTTTCTGTGAGCAATAAACCCTGAAACCTTAAGTTCATTACTTCAGGGTTCGTGCATCAGATTTGATGCTTGAAGCTCATCTTTAAGCCTCTAAGCTTCGAAGGCGAAACTACTCAGGCCCTACACCCAAAACGCTACATCCTAAACCCCTAAACTCCCAGCCTTCAATGATCCAACCCTAACCCCCTTGAATCTCAACTCGCATGTTTTTTTTTACGTTAAAATCCTTAAGCCTTGAATCTCAACTCGATCCTTAACTTTAAACCCCCCTAAAGCCCGAAAAAACCCTAAACCCTAAACCCCTCAAGCCCTAAACCTCTGCTTGCAATCCTTGGGCTCCAAGCGTAGAGAGCTTTCCGAGATCCCACAGAGTCCGGTCTGCCAGGACTGGGCTTTCCGGTGGTTCGGTTTAGCGTTCAGGGTCTTAGGGTTTGGGAGGTTTGGGAGGTTATGGTTTAGGCTTTAGGGCTTTAGGGGTTTAGGGTTTTAGGGTTTAGGGTTTTAGGGTTTAGGGTTTAGGGGTTTAGGCTTTAGGATTTAGGGTTTAGGGCATGCGTACATGTATACATACAGACATACATAGTTATACATACACACACACACACGTACATGTGTATCTGTATTTCTGTATATATGTACAGGTATACATACAGTAGAGATGTTGCTGTTAATTACTTGTTCTTGTATACTTACTTATGTGTTGGTGCATATCTGTATAATCTTGGCTTAGTACTGTTGATGATACGCATCCTGCATTACCTTAAGGACCCGAAACTATGGGAGTTATGGTATATTCGTTATTTTTTATGCAGGATTTATATCATCAGCCGTATGCACGCCTTTTTTATTCGAGGACTTTTGCAAGTCCAGGCTGACACGGCATTGAAATGTCCTTTGAAGGCGGCTTGTGTGGCTTTGCAGGATTTTGGGGTTTGGGTTGTAGGTATTGAGCTGTCTAGAGTTGCCTATAGGCATATATATATATATATAGATACATATATATATATATATACATTTATATTATATATACGTATATACATACACATATATATATATATATATGATTATATATGCGTGCATGTGTTATGGCTGTCTGGGGGGTGCATACGGATGTGAGGCTTTAAGGCAGACTTACACACATTTGGCAGTTAAGGCATTTTAGCTTGTCCATGACATGGCATTGCTCAAGTAAGATTCAGAGGTGACCTGAGGAAAAGGCTCGACATCCGAGAAGGCTTCTGAACGACTCCAAGGCCCAAAACCCCCAACTCTTACGAGCCGGGAGCTTAAGCCAACAGAAACAGAGCCTGAAGCGGTAAACCTCTTCCATGCAAAACATCCCCACAACCTTAATTTAGACCCTCAGCGGGCCTTCAAAATCACGCCACCAGACTTGGTCTGTCCTCTTGCTTTGTAAAGTTCTTTGCAGAAGTGCAACTCGTGTAGATCTCCGTCCTACTGGCGAATCAACGAGCAACTGCTAGCAACATCGAAGATATTCACGGTGAGAAGGTTCCAGCATGATCGTTCTTCGTTAAAGAGTCCGAGAGGAAGAACAGTCGGAAGAATTCCTTTCAACGCAGGCATCCAAACTCGGTATGCTGCGAAGATAGAGGTAGCGTGCTGTCTGCGGGATCGCAGGAGATTACTCCAATACTGCTGCAGACATCGGAATCCTGAGATTACTGGAAAAGCACTTTAAGCTTAACTGATTAAGCTGTCTTTCAGGCAGGATCCACGAACACTTCCATGGTAGTTCGGAAAATGTCATGCTTTCGACGAGATGAACATCATAGCCAGTCTGCCCCGCCGGGCTCCGGAATACGTGTTTACGAGTTTAGGGGCTAAGGTTTAGGCGTTTAGGGTTTAGTTTTGTGGGTGGACCGGAATTTATCTATATACTGTTATTCCTTGTTTTCACGCCTAGTGGGTGGGGAATGACGGGGGGCGGGGGTGTCTCACCTCGCGGATTCTTCGGGCCAATCTCTTTGCACCCGAAACCCTAGACTGACTCAAAGGAGGCATGCTTTTCCTTGCGGGCGCTGTTGCTCTCGGCGGCGTAGCACTGTATGGGGCGCAGCCGCGGCTCTTTCCAGGACTTCACAGAACAAACTTGGGTTGTATACGGGGTCGCACAGGGTCGTGTAGGACATTATGAGGGCTTGGACGGGTGTTAGGTTGGTGGCTCTCTAACAGTCCCCTTCTGTAAATCTTTGGGTCCGAAACCCGCAGCACCCCTCAAACCCTAATCTGCAAACCCTGAACCCCAAACTCTAACGCCCCCGAGCCCTAATCCTTAATGTTTGAACCCTAAAGCTCAAGCCCCAAAACGCTAGCGGCTAGCTTCCAAGAGCCTCAAACCCTATATCCCTGGACCTCAAACCCCGAAAATGTTTTCTTCAATATCGGAAGTTCTCCAAACTAGGGTCGCTTTAAGGGTGCTTTTCTGCAAGGGTGCCATACTACATTCGGGATATCAGCAGGGAGCCTAATTCAGAGAACTACTTGTATTCAGCACTCCCCCAAACCCTAGGTCCTGGACCCTAAAGAACCTGCATTTTTTGGGATTCTTATTATACATTCCTTGTATACGCCACAAAAAGAGTAGGTTGTTCGGACCTAAACCCTAAACCCATTCTCCCCCCAAAGCCTAATTCCTGAACCCCAATCCCTTCGGTGGGCCTTGGAGCATGGTGTCCTAGGATGCCCAGTAGTACCCTTCTTCCCTTTTTCCTTCTATAATTATTCCCTTTTTGTAGTCCCAGGTCCTAGGTTCCTTCTAAAAAGAGCCAAATACTTCAAAAGGGAGCCCGTTTCATTCTGACATGCCCGCTCTTTGAGACTTGTGGAGCCCCTTTTTATTCCTAGCTTACTGGGCATCCTGATGGAAGGAGAGAAGAGCGCCGACTTCAAGGCCGGGAGGATGTAGGGTTTAGGGTTTAGGATTTAGATTTAGGGTTTAGGGTTTGGGATTTAGGGTTTAGGGTTTAGGATTTAGGGTTTAGGATTTAGGGTTCAGGGTTTAGGGGAGTCGATTTAGAATATAGGGGCCTTTTCTACCTATACTTGTTTTTTTTGTTGGGGGGGTTCTTTGAAAGGGTTCCTTAAAGGGGCCTATAAGGGATTTATAGTAGGCTTCTAGATTAGGGGCCTGAATAACTACCTATACTAGTTTGGGGGGCTCCTTATTATAGTTATAATATAGTGGGCCCATTATTAAGGCCCTCATATTACCTTGCTCTTTCGGGTCGGTTTGGTGGTTCTGCTTTGGGTGCAAGGATTAGGTTTAGTAGGAATTGGGGTTGAGGGTCCTGTTCGGGGGTTATGGACTAGGAGTTCAGGGTTTGCTGGGGTTTGGAGCTGTAAGTTCCCGGGCTTAGGGCTAAGAGTGCTTAGGGTCAGGGAGTTAAAGGTGGTTCGGATCGCGATGGTAGTTCATAGCTAAGGGCGAATATAGGGGCATCGAGAATTACAATTGTTATTCCTTAGGATGCTTCTTTAAAAGTATAGCAAAATGTACACGAAACCCTACTCTCCCATTATTGAGGCCTCTGTTCTAGGCAGTTGCTTGGACGCATTTGCTGTTTCAATCTTGGTTCCAGGGCGGGATGTTTGGTTGCCCTAGACCCTAAACTTTGATACCTTGTGGCCTTCACCCGAAGCCCGATGCTCTGCGCAAGATCGAAAAACCAAGTAGATGAGCACGTCGGGAAGAAGTTAGAAGGGGCCCCCACCCTGTAATAGTGGTATAGTAGGAATATAGTAGGGCCCTAATATAATCCTTATAGTCACTATTACAGGGTGGGGGCCCCTTCTAAGGAATAAGTCACTGTAAGTCAAGACGTGAGTCCGAGCTCTACGCCCTCTTCACCCAGTGACTCCAAAACCGCCCAACTGCAAAATGTACCGTACATTTTAGAAAGACTAGTTACATCAAGGGGTTTGGTAGTCGCTGGGAACCGCCGAATCCCGAAAACCCTACAGTGCCAAAACCGTCGAGATAAATCCTGCGAAACCAGCCAAATCCCTAAACCTTAAACCCTAAACCCTAAGTTTCACTATTAACCCCGTACCGCCAGAGAATCACAAAGCTGCCAAAGCTTGGCCTCAGGTCGTTAAGCCTGCAGAGGCACCGGTGCTAATGCAATATCTTCAGAAGCGTCTTGTCGCTCGAAGTGTCTAGGTGCAGGGGTTCTTTTTGAAGGGTTGAAGTTTAAGTTTAGACATGCGGGATCCGGGATAATTGTTTGCTGGACTTGTTTTCATGGTCAGGGAGTGGGGAGATCCTAACACACGGGTTTTGTGTTTCAGACATCCTCGGAAGTGTCTCGAGTTATTCCGGGACCTTGCTGAGGAGTAACGACTAGGTCTTAAGGTTTGTGTTCCAAAGCTTCCTGTCTTGTTCTAACATGGATGCCGCATGCCTGGCGGTCCTGAATGATGTACAATGCGAAACTCCGAAATCCCAGTCTGATGATGCTGATGATTAGAAGGCCTCTATACTAAGGGTCTGGGTTTGAGTTTCTGAAGATCCTGGTCGGCTGTTGTACTGAACTCGTTGTTCGGGGGTTTCGTCATTCGAGTGTCGAACCGGGCTGGTCCAGCTTAGTGCTCCGAGTCTACAGTGGCTTTCGTCTAAGAGACCCCAAACCCACATGCCTCGCCTGGATTGTCCGAGTGTGAGCGCGGAAACCCTAAACCCTAAACCACTTTTGCAAGTGGAGGGCATCTGCACTCGCCCCCACAAGCACTACTGAACCCCATGTGTCCACGGTCCTCTGGATCTCCTAAGCCTCGCGCCCCGGAGTTGAACAACAAGCACCCGAAGCCCAGGTACGAGAAAGAGCTGGGTGCCGATTTCCTGGCCTACAGGAAGCTTGGCCGTTCCCCCCAGCCCTAAACCCTAAAGCCCGTGCATCAAAGACTGTGGAATGGCTGCCTTTGTCATGAAGATCTTCGTAACAAGGAGGTTGCTACTTACTGTTTGGGGTTGAAGTTCTAGCATGCTTTGGGGTTAAGGGTTTGAGGTTCGGGGTTTAGGATTGCAGGGCCAAGCTGCCCTTAGCCCTAAAGCCTAACTGCTCCTAAACCTAACAGCTGAAATCCAATTCACCTGCAAAGACAAGCACAAACCCTCGACGGAGGAATCACTGCCTCCGAGTCCTCTCCTTCACTCTCTACTTCTTGGAGAAGGCTCCCTCAGAAGGCCAATCTTACATCGCATTCGGGAGTTGCGGATTTGAGATAACCTTAAGCGCAAGATCCGTTAAACTTTAAACCTTGAGCCCCAAACCCTAAACCCTAAGCCCCAAACCCCTAGACCTTAAACCCTAAATCCCTGTAAATCCCTAGTCCCCCAACCCTCAATCCCCAAACTTCGGGATGGGAAGGTTTTGGATGGGCGAGTTCTAGAGCTTTCCATGTCTTTTCGGCTTTTGGGTGTTTAGGGTTTCAGGTTTTGTGGTTTAGGGGTTCGAGTTTTAAGGTTTAGGGTTTAGGGTTTTGGGGTTTCGGGATTCGGGTTTTAAGGTTGAGGGTTTCGGGTGTGAGGTCTTGGGTTTGTTTTGTGGGGGCTTTAGAGTTTCGGGGGTTCAGAGGGTGCTGGGCATGCTTGCCCCCCTACATCCTGAACCCTAAACTGACCCTAGAAAAAAAAGCGACCCTAGACCCCTTAGATAAGCTTCACCCCTAAACCCAACGCCCAGCGAAGGAAGAGCAGGTAAGCGACGCACTTACTAAGAGGTGTGCCTAAAGTTGGTCGGAATGTTTAGTCAGAGAGTACCCTTAAAGGTTAGCTTGAGGGTCACTATAAGGGTCATTATAAGGGCTGCTATAGAAGTTTCCAGTTTCAGCATACACGTATAGCAGATTATACCCCAGAGCCCTGTTCGGAATGTTCAGCCCCTGCCCTAAGCCCTGAACCCTAATGTTGCCTATGTGGGAATCCCTTTAAGGCCAAGGTATGTACTACGAGTGCGTGGACCACTGTGGCTGTGGACGGTCTAGGTAAGACCTTCCCAATCGGGATACATGTGCATATACCCAGAGGGTCCATGTATCGAAATACAGTAGTGTATACTTTGGGCTCAAGGTAGTCCCTATATTCATATGTATATATATATATACATATGTACTCTGGTGCCAAAGTATATACTATTTAGGTACATGGACCCTTAGGGCTAGGCATGTTATCTTTTACTGGCGCTGGTTTGAGGTTTGGGTGTTTGGGACTAGGGTTTCGGGTCCCCAAAAGCTGCTCTAAATATGACCCTACATGTTGAGATGTCTTCCTCTCCAGGCGCGAGGAAGAACTTGGAAGCTGCGCCCAGACCCGCATTGCTGCGTGTTTCTCCAGAAATCAAGGTTAAGTTAGTCACAGCCCCTGTGTCCCTACGAATAATAATCAAGCAAATCTTCTCCAAAACCCTATTGATTGTGTGCTGATGTATTTAGAACGATTCTGATATGTAGCCCTTGATATGGCCCCTTAATGTACACTGTAGCAAGGTGGGGCAGTACCCAACCGATTGAAACGGTCCAGGCCTTTATGGTACTCCTTCAGGGCTCTTCCTTTAGCAGATATGGGAGTTTCCAAAAATAGGGGACCCTAATATAGTACCCTAAAGAGTAGGATCCTTATTATAAGGACCCCAAAATAAGGTACCCCTAATTTTCGGAAAGTCCCATATCCAATCTTGGAGTCCCAGAGTGAACCTGGAAGCTTTCTATGTAGAGATCCCAACCCCCCAAATTCAGGGTTCCAGGTTTCCCCATACTGGGGCTTTCCGGAGGTGTCAGCTTCCGTTTTGCTATTGTGTAAAATGTAGATGTGATCAAAACTAATTACTACTTTTCTTTTGGGTCGAATGTCTCATGGCAGAAGGTTCCCTTCAAGAATCCCTGGAGGGTTCCTACAAGGGTTCCTGCCAGGGTTACCGGAATATGCGTTAAGGTTTAGGGGAGCTCCTACTGATGTGGTTTAGGTCTATTCCAACGGGTTTTCGATGTCGCACCACCCCAAGAATCCGAAATCAATTCGTCCTGGACCTTCCCCCTCATCCCTCGTTCGGGAGCTGTGGACCGCCGGAGGAACCGACGGAAACATCCAGTAAGGAGGCAGGAGAGCAACAAATCAACCCCAAACCCTCGCCCAAGCACCCTAGCTCCTAAGCTCTCTAGAAGCTCAAACCATAATCCCCAGCCCTAGCCCGTAACCCGAATCTTAACAGAAGACTCCTCATCGTGCCTTGCGACCTTGCATATCCGCCCAGGCGCTGGCTTACCATGATATTGCGCTGTGGACCGAAGCTGGGCTTCGTGGACATGCCCTAAGGCTCTATGTACCGATATAGTAGCCAGAGACTCCAATAACCCTTAATGAAGGAATATACCTTAAATTATGGCAGACTCCCTAAAAGACTTAAGGAATAGTCCTTCATTAAGGGATATTGGAGTTTCCGGGTATCTTAAGGCTCCATGTACGTATATACTTAGGCCTTCAAGGGGCTCCTATAAATTGCGAACACCAAAAGGACCTAAGCCTAAGCATTTTTCAGGGATGTCCATACTTGATTCTTGGGCTTCAATATGCAAGGATGTATATGGGATATCCCTGTGCTATGTTTTGCTTGTGTGCTTTTGTGGGGCCCCAATGAAGGTATTTGAAGGCTTATATTCTATGTAGGTACATGGAGCCCAGTGATGCCGGGATACTGACTCAGAGGGTTCCCGGAAGGCTTCTAACGAGGGATCTACAATAGTTCTAAGGTGCAGGGTTCTACCCGGAGGATCATGGGACTCAGTAAGTCAGGTTAAAAGCAGCATAATTGGAGGTCTGAGCCTTAAACCGTAAGCCCCAACACTCCACCACCATGTAATTTGAAGCTCTAAAGTGCCCTAAGGCCAGGAACCCTACAGAAAACCTAACCCCTAGGTCCGCAACTTCTTATAGAACCCTCAACTATAGCAACCTTCAAAGAACCCGCGCTTACAGCAGCCACTATTATCACTTACAGCAATCCGCACAGGAGCCTGCGGTGCCCAAACACCGAGCCGTTCATGCCCTTTAGGACTTAACAGGTTTACGACTTAGGTTTTAAGGCTTTAGGGTTTTTGGGCCTTTAGAGTGTAAGGCTTACGGGGGTTTGGTTGTCTGTAGTTGTTGGGGGATTGCGGGGGGCTGGCGCGCCATTGAAGCTTGTCGATATCCTTCAAGCTCAATGCCCTAATCTCTAAGCCCAGAAGCAAAAACTCCGAAAGCCTTAAAACTTGACCCTGGCACCCCAAAGCCTGAGCCAGAACCGTCAAGTCTTCTAACACCCTCAAAACCTGAAGCCCAGAAGCCCAGAACCCTAAACTCCCATAAGAACTTGAAGACCTAACGCCCCGAGATTTTTCAAGAATCGATAAAAGGATTTGGCAGCCAGCTACTTGGGCCCGAGTGCAGCGAGGCACGGCCCAAACGGTCTTCGAGTTAAGGGCTTCCTTAGGGGCTCAGGGTTTAGGGTTTGTTTAAAGGCTCCTCTGACAGGAGGGGATCTACAACAAGGGTTCTAGAATGATTTAAGGTTTAGGGCTAACTTTAGGGTTTAGGTGTCAGTTTGGGTTCATGACAGTTTTGTTTCAGCCTTTCCAGTTTGTATCTTGCCAGGATTTGTGTTGGTCGTTGTCCTCCAGCTTGGGTTGGGGGTTTCGGGCTTAGGGTTTGAGACATTTGCAAACCCCAACCTAGCAAAAGCCTTGAACCCAAACTGAGCAACGACAGCCGAAGCCCCAAGCCCGAAGTTCACAATTCTTCCATGAGTGTTTTGCGTTGAGATGACCCTTCTTTTACAAACATATGGCTTCAGCGGGCTGTTATGTTTTGGAGTTGGAACCTGCTTCGTAAAAACCGTGGATGTCGTAGCCTCTGGCGGAGCAAGCGATAACCCTGAACTCTAAAGCCCTTATAAACCTAAGGCAGGAAGTTTCTGCCAAACACCGATGCCAACGCACCAGACCTTTGGTGCAAGCCCATGGCAAGCAGCGGCTTGTAGGGTTTGGGGTTTTAGGCTGTGGGTTTTAAGGTTTCGGGTGCGTTCCGATGGAAAGACAATTGTGGAGGCAGCGGCTATGGCACCTTCAACGGGGGGAACCTGCAACTTGTTTGATCCCTTTCTTGTTTGAATATTGCGGTGCGGGGAGGAGCTTATGCCTGAAACAACCCTCACAAGCCCCATCCTAAACTTCTATACCAAATAGCACAAAACAGAAAGCAGGAAACTTCGAAGCCTGCAACATAGCCAATAAACCTCCAAAATATGTACAAAGCGCACAAGACACCTCCTAAACTAATAAACCTACCCTAAACCCCTAAACACCTAAACCCTAAGCCCCTAAACCCTAAGCCCTAAATCCCAAACCCTAAACCCTAAACCCTTAAACGCTTAACCCTCGCCTTGCCAGGGCACGGAAAGACTTGGCAGGCAGCTACTCCGACACCGACCTGCGCTGTGCCAGCAGTTTATGGGCTTAGGGTTTAGGGTTTTCGGGTTTTGGGCCTAGGGCTTTGGCTTCAGGGTTTTAGGGTTTTGGCTTGGGGTTCAGGATTTTAGGGTTTTGGGCTCAGGGCTTTGGCTTTAGAGTTTTGGGCTTAGGGTTTAGGGTTTTAGGGTTTTGGGTTTAGAGGTTTAGGGAGTCGATGGGCTAAGGGCTCGTTTTCAGGGCTCCTTCTAAGGGCCCCTTTTATGGTTCCATTAGGGTTCCTTGAGGGGTTCCTTTAAGTCAGGGAAGGTTCGGTACGGGGACAAGCTCTCCTATTCGGGCTCCTGTAAGGGTTCTATGAGGGCTCCTTTAAGGGTTCTATTCGTGTTCCTGTAAGTTCAGGCAGGCTTGATATGGGGTTTTTGAGGGTCGTTTTGTTGTTGAGGGTCTTCGGGGGAAGAGCTAGAGCCTAGGGTCTTCAGGATGTCGGTGTCTAAGCAGTAGGTGAGTTGGGATTTGGGATTGTTGGGTTTTCAGGCAAAGTTTTAAAGGGTGTAAGCATTAGGGATAAGTTATAGTGTTTCGGGAAGTAGAGATACAAGGGTCTCGATTCTAGATCCTCCCCTGCATCTCCTTCTGCACATACCTCTTCCGCCGTCAGTGGCTGCGTATCGGAGGATTCCTTACACCTAAGTTCTTAACCCTAAACCCACAAGTCTAAACCCTAAAGTCACCCTAAACTCCCAGAGTCTATACCCTAATTGAAGTTGCGATCCGGGTGTGTTGAATGAGAGTGAGCTGGAGGCATTCATCTGAAGGGTTTTACAGTGGCCTGAGTAAGGGTAACAGATTTTCAGTGGATATACTGTTATAGTGAGAGCGAGACTATAAGGGAATATGAAGATCACGCAGATCGCAAGTAGCCTGGATTAGCTCCTGGCAATGAGCGCCCCAAAATGAGATCATGATGTCGAACAACCCCGAGGGAGATATCGGGGCCGTCTACAAACTACACCCAAACTGTGCTGCATCAGCTTCAGGATTTGGGATCTCAGGGTTCGCATGTCCTCGAGTGTGCCTGGGTTCAGAAACCAAGACTAGTTTAGGTCTAATTGCCCCAATTAACTATCCCCTTATGGTCCGTACATAGCCATACAGTTCTGCGTCCTATATTACCTTCGGGCATACTTTACCGTTTTGGAGAGGTGCCTGTCGGAGACAACAATTTACCGAATCGCGGCCTGCGCCCAGGAACCAGATAGAGGATTTGATCATGAATCACCACAAGGCTCCGCTTAGGGGTTTAGGGCTAAGGAATCCAAGCAATAAGCCTGTTTCGGTAGACATCCGGTTCTGATCTCAGGGACCTACGCTTGAGTTCCTCAACTCTTTTTGCACTGACACCCCAAGCCGCGCAAACCCAAGAACCTGATATGGCCGTCGGAACTGTGACTCGAGACAAGGAGGTCGAGACGACCATTAAACAAGTGAACATGCAGGGCTACAAGAGTTTAGGGTTTGTGGCTTCGTCGCTGAGTTTGGGTTTAGGGTTTGGAGTCTACTGTTTGGGCTTAGGGTTTAGCGTCTAAAGTTTTGAGTTCAGGGTTTAGGGTTCAATGGAGTTTAGGTTCAAGGCTTAGGAGACGAGGATGCGAGAGCTTTGAAACCAGGGTTCGGCTAAAACTGATTCAAGCTCTTTACAGCGTGGGGCTTAGGAGGATGTGCAGCTGGGGTCTAGAGGCACGAAAAAGGTTCGAGGGTGTTAGTGTTGGCAAGTACCGAAATGTTGCTTCAAACTCTTGTAGTTCCTGCTGGAGCCATGGTCCCAAGGCCCTACCTCTTTCAGGCTTTATCTATAGAAGCCAGAACCCTAAAGCCCAAACGCTAAACTCCCTGAGCCTGAAAACCGTACGGATAAACCCCAATTCTAACCTCCGATCTGCCTCGTATAATCACGGAACGGTGCCCCTGTGGTCACGAATACTCTTCCACAGGGCTCCTGGGGGATAACTATACATACTATACCTTAAGGCACCATCATTCTATGGGTTTAGGGTTCAGGGTTTGGGGCGTATATTATTACGATAATACACCCTCAAGTCCCATTCTAGGTATGAAGGCCCTGTATTATCATCTAGCCCGCTGCGGCAGGTCACCACGGCTGCTGATCCCCTTGTGGATGCCATGCGAAAAGCAGACGCTTAGCGCACTGTTTGGGCTAAGCCGTTTCGGGTTTAGGGGTTTGAAGGAATAAACGACTTAGGGGATACCTTGACTCTGAATAACCTACCTTTTTAGGGTTCCTTATTCTGATTTCCTTACGTAGGTTTTTCGGGGTTAAGGTAGGGGTTTGGGGGTTCAAGGGTTTAGGTTTGGGGGCACTAATCAGATCTCGAGGTGCGGCAGCGGATGCAGGGTTTACCAGTTGGTAGCTTGGCATAATCTTGACAAGCGCCTACGGTTGATGATATAAACCCTGCATTACCTTAAGGACCCTAAACAATGGGAATTATGGTTTATTCCTTATTATGGGTAATGCAGGGCTTTTATCATCAAGCGTATGGATGTCTACAAAGTTGAATAGTCTGGATTAAGGGTTTTGCGGCCAAAGAATCCAAGGGATCCCGGACACGCGAGTCTTGTATTTCTGGTTGTCATGCTTGTTCCTGTGTTGGCAGTTCAGGTAAACCCTAAGCTTAATCCCTAAACTCCTAAACCCCTATATAATTTTGTAACCACAAACCCTGACAAAACCTATGCCACAAACCTCCCAGACCCCAGACCCTCTCCCGGCCCCAAAGCACGAAGTAAGCACTACGAGTTTGGAGAGCTCATACTTCTGCGTTTCGGGCTTAAATTAGGGTTTGGATTGAGCATGCTGGTTTGCTTACACCGCTTGGTATATGAAGTAGGGGTTTATATTGATTCCCGCTTTGGTGAGTGTGTATAGAGCTCGCTATGACATTTGGTGTGTAATTAATATATTGGAATTAATATAGTTATTATGGGGGGGGGGGTACTCGTAAAAAAGCCATGCATTATTTGGGATTCGCTGCCCATGCTTGCCCGGAGTCCGAAAGCCCGGGCTGTTGATTGCGATGGGCTGCTCTGTTCAAATTCCCTCGGCCGGTTTAGGTTTTGGGGTTTAGGGTCGAAATCCTGCACCGCCAAGACATCCGAAATCGTGAGGGTTTCTCTACCTCCCTTCGAGCTCGTATTCTCTTGCCAAGGTTGAAGTTTGAAGGCCCCCAATACCTTTCATTCATCGGCTTTTGGGATTTTGGGTGGAACACGAGATAAGCCTAATAAGACTTACAAATACCATTGTTCACTCGGGTTCCTACTATGTTTGTAAGTTAGCTGCTCAAGCTATTCAGGCCCTTCTTTGCTTGCGGTGTTTAGCTACAGAACCTCAAGCAAGCATGGAGGCTGAAACACCTCTCATGTTGCTTTGTTCGTTCGACCACGCTCCCAACCCGAAAAGAAGCTAGTCCCCAAGCGGCATATCTTTAATTCTAATCTCTAAACCAACCTCAAATTCTCTCCGCCCTAAGCCCTCAAGCCACAACATCCCGAGGATTTGTCTCAGACCCTAATCTAAACCCCCAAGCCCTCAACCCTAAACCCGAGAATTTGCCCCAAACCCCAAACCCTAAACCCTGGACCCTGAACCCTAAAACCGAGGATTGGCTCTAAACCCCAAACCCCAAGCCCTAGGATTTTTTCCAATCCCGAGGATTTGCCCTAAACCCCAAACCCTAAACCTTAGAACCGTAAACCGAGGATTTGCCCTAAACCCCAAACCCTAGACCCTGAACCCTAAACCGAAGCGCCCCTTTTTTTTGCTGGTCGAAAAAGGGGCGCTCAAAAAAAAACTAAACCGAGGATTTGCTGGACTTCAGCAACAGCGCCCGCTTCCCCGTGCGCTCGGGCATGCCCTCCGGGAACATCGCGGAGGCGAACTCTGCCTTGCCCCTGGAGGCCGGTACTGGGCCCCATTAAACAAGTAAATATATATATATATATATAGATATACTATATATGGAATTATACCCCTACATCCATAATGATGAAAGGGAAATGACCGCCAAGGGGAGCTTAGAGTCGATTTGGGTTAAGGGTTTAGAGTCGAGTTGGGTTAAGGGTTTAGAGTCAAGTTGGGTTTAGGGTTTAGAGTTGAGTTGGGTTAAGGGTTTAGAGTCAAGTTGGGTTTAGGGTTTAGGGGCTCAGGGTTTGGGGTCTACTTGGGTTTAGGTAGTACTACGAGCGTCCTCAACAGTTAGCACTTCAGTCATCACAAGACTACTAACGAAAAATACGATTACCAATAGTCATAAACATAATCTGGAAATACTCACAACGACAATCATAAGCAGAATCGAAATAGCAACCACGGAAATAGTAGTAGCAATCATAATCTTGATGTTAGGAGTAAGAGGAAGACTACGAACACGAAGAAGAATCACAATAAACATAATAACACTAGCCAAAGCAATTATCATAACCAAGAACCCCATAACTAATACAGTGGCAGCAGCAGTAGCAACAACACTGGGAGCAATATAGTGGTGACAATCATAGTATCCGAATTTAGTATATCCCAGTCGTGTTCGTTTGTTTAGGTTTTTTCGATTCCAGCAATCAGGGGTCTATAAGAGCTGTTGAATCGAAATTTGCGGCCTTTAAGGTCTGGCAGGTTTTACGGTGAACCCCAGAAAGTTGGAACATGGATTTAGGATGATTATTGCGGGGAATTCTCCTCTACTTTACCTTAAAGGTATGGCATGGGGATAATGATGTTCCAACTTTATGGCTTCTACTGCACTGTAGGGCTTTCGGGTGAACACGCAGGCCGTTAGGGTTCAAGGATAATGGTTTAAGGATTTGAATCCTTAAGGTTTTCAGAGTTCGGCCCAATTAGGGTAAATGGATGTAGTAAATACGGCCGTCATAGTTTACCCGCACGCCCACATTTGTTCACAGGATCCACTCGGCTGCAAGGCCACGTTCATTGTAAACTCCACCACAGTCTTTGGGGTTCTGGTGGTCGTTGTTGTGGTCATGGTTTGCCCGGTCGTCATGGCGTGTTGGTCGTTGCCCTCGGATTGTGCTCCAAATCCCACTCTCAAACCCGACACCTGAAACCCGAATCCCCGAACCCAAGCCCTGTAAACGCTAAACCCTTACAGAATCCCTACCGAAACTTTTACAGAGCTCCCCTGTGTCCTAAACAGCCATACCTGCTTTTTGTGAAACATAGGTTGCCTATGACAAAACCCGAACATCGAATTTCACAAGGAATTCTAGAAAATGCCTGGATTCAAAGGGGTTCTGCACAAAACACAGTAGAAATTCTGGAAGGTTGAGGTAACTTTGTCACAGTTGGTTAACATTTTACATTTTTGATGGGTACTTAAACCCAATACGGCATTTAAAAGGTAGGATCCGATTTCGACCGAGGGATTCATTTCGGCGCTCGCGCGCCGACCCTTCACCATCCGCCCTGCTCCTCTCCTGCAATGTTTAGGGTTTAGGGTTTAGCGTTTATAGCTCATAAATCCTGAAAAACAGGGTTAGTATTTAGGGTTTACGGTTTAGGATCCAAGATTTGGGGTTTGAGGTTTACGGCAAAATGACTGAAATTGCCAACGGGTTCTAGACCAAGCATGTAAAGCCAAAAAGCTTATTCCACTCTTTGGCTTTACATGTTTTGGGCACTTGTAGCAGTAGCAAGCTTGACCTTTTTTGGACCCGGTGATTGAAGACAGCTAAGCGCGTTGTTGGTAATGTTTAAGGCTTAGGGTTAGGCTGAGGGCATGTAGCTTAGCGAGAAGGGCTTTGGTTGCAAGTCAGAGTTTGTAGTCAGGATGTTGCTACTGCGCCATTTGGGCACATAGTAATTAAATCTTAAAGCCTTCTAGAACCCCTGCAGCAACCCTTAGTAACCCTTAAAGGAGCTGTTCGGAGTTTATGTATTTGTATTTGTCAGTTTGTTAGACATTTTGGCTTTACCACTTCGAGCCCGCCCACTGATGAATTCGGCTTGGGGGTTTGGGTTCAGGGACATCTGGACATCTGATGCTGGTGATGGTGGTTTTGCTGGTGATGGTAATAATCGTGGTGATGAGTCCCCAGAGGCCTAAAGGCCTACATGTGTTTAAACTCTGAAACTGAAGTAAGCCCCAAGACTTTAAACCCTAAAAGCGACGGCAACGACTCAAAGCTTCCGAATCCGAGAAGCTATACTGCCCAGCCCCTAGACCCTACATCCTAAGCCCCAAACCCTAAACCTCGGCTCAGGACAACCCTTTCAAAGCATCCATGGAAGTCATGGAGATCTTCCGCTGGTGAGAGAGAGCTCGAAAGGTAGAGGGTGTAGGGCCTTACCGTTTCCCATGGAGAGTGACACGGTTTACGGGTTAGAATGTAGGCTTGACGCGAGTTGCAGAAGCAAGCGCATTGGCGAATTCCGTCAGTTTACGGCTGTCCGGAGCCCAAATCCAAAGCCCTATTACTTTGCATGCCTCAAGTACCCCAAACCCTGAACGTTAAACCCTAATCAAACACCAAGCCCCTAAAGCAAGGAATCCTCTGTCAGATCGGGTTCCCCCCAAATGGAGAGTACCCCATGTTGAAGTACTTAGTTGGCTTCACGGGTCGGCGTATAGCTCTTTGTAGCGGCCCGGTATGAAGAAACGCCCATGAACTAACCCCTAAAGGCCTGTACCAGAGTAGTGGGTGAGAGTTTCCCCAACACGAGCTTAAATCACCGAGAATACCCAAAACTGTGACAGATTATTTCACCCGTTTATACCCGGTGAGCCCCTTGGGGCACCTGGGCAATGTGGAGCAGGTAAGGCATGCTCCCGGTTGCCTGCCGCACAGCGCAACCAAGGGACACAGAGAGCATGGCAAAAGCGAGAACTTACCTTTGGTTAGTAGGGAATGGAGGAATGGGGTACAATGATACTACTTACTACTATTACTACCATTCTTCCATTCCCTAGTAACACAAGGTAAGAGAAGGCTTGGGTGAGCTCAGGTTCTTCTGGGCAACGGTTTCTACACGAGATGCTTGTTTGATTTGCCCTAAAACTCCGTGTGCCAGTGTAATGAATACTTAGGCCTGCAACCCTATTCAACTCTAGTCACGGACTGTTGGGGGAGGAAGGTGAGGACAAGGACGAGAAGCGATGATGGCGATGTTCATGACCCGAAGCTGAAACTCCAAACCTGGTGGGCAGCATCGCTTTTATTGGGTTCCTCAGTAGTACACTTTGGCCCTTTTTGTTTCGGGGTTTCCTTTTGTCAACCGAATAGTAGCAAGGGTATCAGGGGCCACTGGGAACCTGGTTGTGGTCACGGTTTGGGGTTTAGGGTTGCAGTTGTTTTGCAATGTTGCGCTTTCAGCCATTGAGATTTCTCAGCGCGCCCGCATTATGATCATAGTATATAGGCACCAAACCCTAATTATTAAGGCCCCTATATTTATACTTTTTATTATTCAGGTGCAACTTGAAACGTTGCTCGGCATTGCCTTGGGCAATGGCCGCCAGGGTCATTGGATTTCGGCTTGAATGCAGAGCGCTGACAACTCAACTTCCACTTGAGTACTAAAGGTATAGATAGTGAGCGGTTTCTAGTCGCTAAAGACAGGGGCATTCTGACTCACGGGTCTACATTATGGTTCAGGGTTTTGGGGAGCTCGCACAAGGCATCCCCTCATCCAGGGCCACCCCAATTCTCCAAAATGCCTTTGAACCCCAAATCCAAAACTCTTAGCGAAGATCCTGCACTTTCAACCGATTCTCTGCCGTAAGTCGCATCGAAGTCGATTTCGTGCGGAGGAGTCGCCATCCGCCGCTGACATCAAGAGCATCCTTGAGGCAGGGAGGCATGAAAAAGACCTCGATTCACCCTAAGCCCCGAAATCGGAACACAAAACCCTGAATCTAAACCCGAAGCCAAAAACCGTTAGGGGTTTAGGGCTTAGGGTTCGTCGAGCAGGCAACCTTCAACCGTTTGCGTTTGATATATTCCTGCCATAGTTGACCCAGGCTGGTGGCATCAGCTATGAGGACGAGATGATCAACAGGGTGATCGAGCGCATGGAGGGCAAGCAGGTCCACGACTTCAAGCTATCTTAAACTGCCGAAGCCAGTTTTTTTAGTAGGGCCCCCAACAGCCCTGTATTGTAGTGCTTACAATCAGAAGCTGCAAAGAAGTAGGTTATGGTAGTGTAAGGTAGTCCTACCCCGACCCTGGATCCGAGAGCCCTGTGATCCGTGAATATGTAGATCCTTTCAAAACCGCACAGCGAGCCTTAATACCTGAAGACCTCTTCTAAAAGGCATGTCGGGTCTACACAGGGTTCAGGGATGGTTTCACATTGTGCAGAGTCTGGTGGCTTCGGAAGAATATTTGGGACATGACACTTAAGAACCGTCGTGTTGGTTTCGGATGACGGGGGGCACAAAAAGCAAAAGTAGTTAATTCTATAGGCCGTCTCAGCAGGACGATTTTCGAATCTTGCTGCCTCTGCCTTGAGGCCTCCATCCGAAGTTCGTTCGAATTAGACCCTGAATAGAATTCATCTCTTAGCCCTGCCAGACCTGCAGCCCAAACTCCAACGGAACCCTAACCCCTAAATGCTAAACCGTGGACCCTCAGAACAGGAACATACAGAAACACACACACACACACACACAGACAGGCACACAGCGAGTTGCAGGTTTAGAGTTTAGGGTTTAGGGCTTAACCCCCCAAACCCTAAGCCCTAAGCCCTAAGCCCCCTAAACCCAGGCTTCGGTAAACCCCTAGAAGCCAAGCTGACGTCCCGGGCCGGCTCCTGCTGTCCTTCTACTTTGCTAAACTGCAGTACAGTAACGTGTCACATAGATACTATATAGATGGGAGTTTCCGAAAATTTAGGGGTACCTTATTTTGGGTGTCCCTACAATAAGGATCCTACTATTTGGGGTACTATATTAGGGTCCCCTTTTTTCGGAAACTCCCAGATACAGTAGAGGCTGGCTCAAAGCCTAAGCCCCAAATTCCGAAAATTTAACGCATCGTAGCTGAACTTACACCGTATAAACCCTACCCGGCCCTACCCTACCTAAACCCCAATCCCCTAAACCCTAATACCCTCAACAGGCCCATATGCCCCACCTAAACTCCAAACCCTAATCCCTATATAGCCTCATGATAGACCTTAAAACCCAAATTCCCTAATGCCTCAAACCCTAAACCCACATGCCCCACATAAACTCTAAACCCTAATCCCTATAATTACAGCCCCTTAATAAACCCTAAGCCCTACTTCCCTAATTCCCCAGACCCTCTCCAGCCCCATTACCCTACCTAAACTCTATACTCTATACAGCCCCGTATTGCACTCTAAACCATACTTCCTGAAACCCTTTGAAGCCCAAAAACTGGTCCGAGAACCCTAAACTCTTTAAACCCTAAACCCTTGAACAATAAAGCCCTAAACCCTAGAACCCTAAATTTCAAATCCGAAACCCCACACCCCGAGGCTCACGAGCTGATCTCTGAGGGCTTCGGAAAGTTTGCCGCCTGCGGTGGCGGCGGCGGTGGCGGCGGTGGCGGAGGTCACCACCGGCTCAGGGTCCAGAAGCTGTAATAATTATACGAATATCAAACGTGTAGTTATAGTGAATTTAGATACAGTAGTGATAGTATGTGTATGCATAATACGATATAACACACAACATGTAGTATAATACATTATACAATATACATATTACAATGCAACATACAATGTACTGTCTATTATGCTTACGGGTTTGGCTGTTTAGGGTTTCGGGCTTCATGGTCTTGGACTTCAGCACTACAATTACACGGTCTAGGGCTTCACTTCAGGATTTTAGGGCTTAGGGTTTAGATCTTGGAAGCATTGGGATTACGTGGGCAGGCTTCCCCGATGCCCCTCGGCAAAGGAGCCTTGGGGGAGGGTTTTTGTGTGGGTTCAGAGCTCGTTCGAATTCAGCTGACTCTTGGGAATATAGGTCTCAGCTCCAGGTATCTAAATCGAGGGTTGCCACGGGAAGCTTCCTGCTACATGCTCCATATGAACATTTCAGTTAATTATATATATATATATATATGAACATTTGTTTATGCATGTTCGCATGTAAGTAATTTTGTATGTATATCGGAGGGCGAAGGTCGGGTAGTTGGTCGACCAGCCAGCCTTCAGTTCAAGCGACCTCGGCTTGCGGCTTAGGGACCAGAGAATATCCAAGAATCTTAACCGGACAACAACAGCTACTACTACGACGACGACTACTGCTGCTGACTAGCACATTGCGATTCCTGCTTCCAGTGCTTTTGTTTCAACCTTTTGCAGGTGCCGCCCCTGCGGCCGGCGGTGGCGGTGATGCCGGCGGCGCTGCTAAAGAGGTCCACTGTCATGTCGTCGAAAAGCAACCCTTCGGGTTTAGGGTCTAGGGTTTGGGGTTTAGGAATTAGGATCTAGGTTTTGGGGTCTAGGGATTTAGGGTTTAGGGATTTCTTCGTACAGGTGTGTCTGGTCTCCCCTCGTCGACTTTGGTACGATGCTGAATATAGAATCCTAAGCAATCTTGAAGCTCCCTCTGAAACCCTTAGCCCTCAACCCAACCCTAAACCCTCTCAAAAGCCTTCAAAGCACGGGAGCTGAGAGCTTCCAGCATGCAGATGTGAGAAATGAAGGATTACCTTGAACCCTCGTACACTCGAAGATTTTCTAGAAGGTTTGGGTTTAGGGGTTCTTATCAGGGTTACGAAACAGGTTACGTAACGGTTACTATCTCTCTCTATATATGTATCGGTCGTATGCTTACTGTTAAGGGGCACGTAAGGTTTCTTATAACCTTTCGTGTCAAGCCTCCTCGCCGCACAGGAGAAGAAGGTCGAGGAGGAGGAAGAGGAGGAGGCTGGCATTCTTTGGGGCTTCAGGGTTTAGGGGCTTTATACGGGGGCGTTCAGGATTACCAATAATATTTTTGGGGTCCCTTTTTGCATTTATGGTATAACGGGCCCCAAAACCCTATGCTAATGCTTCAGGCCCCTATATTACTGTCTTCGACTTTAGTTCCAGCCCTGAGCATCACTGCACGGGAAGCAATATACTCCGCGGTCATCACCATCTCGATAACGGACATGCCGTGGGTCTTTCTGTGTGTCAGACGCTTCATGCAACCGAGTTTGCCGTTTGCTTGGACCTCGAAGAAGCGATAAACATACTACGCGCGGCTTTGCAACATTTTGCTCATCACAGCAAATGCCTTTGACTCTCTCACCGCAATTATTAGCCAGACTCATTCATTCTCCTTGCGATTTACATACAGCTAATTCTTCGGCAGTTTTTGGTTTACCGAGTTGGCCGCAACCGCCTCAGAAACATCATCCCGCACACGGCCAGAAGCAGTGCGTGGAAGGTCCTGTTTCCATGAACCTTCCACAAAATGCGGGGTGTCGCGCCTCAAACCCTCCTTTCTTTGGGTCAGCTACAGATCTCAACAAGCTGCCTCGAGAGAAGCCACGTTGTGAACCAGTGCCTGCCATAAGCTCCAGAGTCGTGCCACACCCTAGACGCATTTTGCAACAATCTGTGAGGTCTTAGTCGTCAGTGAAAGTCACAGCCCAAAAGCTTGCATGGCCTAAGATGCTAAAAAAAATCTGAAGCTCGGATCTGTGAAGCCCTTAGCGCTGTATGCACGACAACCCCCAACACTTAAAAGCGAGTTTTTCTAAAGAAACCCGAGGCCACCGTGGAGGTAAACCCTGAAGCCCAGAAGATCCAAAAGCCTGAAACCCGAAAAGCAAATTCCAACGGAGATGGACCTGTGGGTTCTGGAGTAGCATACTTGTTTTTGGACCTGTTCCTTACAGGAACCATTATGAAATAAACGTCGATACCTTGTTCTCCCTGGTTACTTCAAAGTCCGGACCTGTGACTTTGCTTCCGCTCTTCTGACCTGAACTCAAAACCCTGGCGAAAAAGCCTACTTTTTGTTAGGAATCCTATAAGGTAATCCCAAAAAGGAACTACTATGGGGCCTATGGATAGATAGTATATACCCTAAACCCTAAACCCGTTGGAGAGGAGATGGATTTCGACCTCTTCGGCTGAGATGTTCACCACACCCGAGAGATCCGCCGTGGAAACGATCCCAGAAGAAAGAGGGCTAGAGGGCTTAGGATTTAGGGCTTAGGATTTAGGGCTTAGGGTTAAGGGCTTAGGGTTTAGGGCTTAGGATTTAGGGCTTAGTGTTAAGGGCTTAGGGTTCAGATTTGGGGTGTTCAGACTGTAGGACGATGCGTTTCGGAGAGGTTTGGGACCGCGTCTAGAGTTGATGGATAACCTCCGTTTGTCAACATCACACAAGAGGGGGTGGGCGGGCAACTCTTTGACCCAGATGACAGGATAAAGTGGATTCTTATGCATGTCCTTCACAGAACACTAGGATTCAACTCATGCAACGTTAGTGTAGGATTATGGGTTCAGGGCATTGAGGCTCCCGCAACCTAAAGGCAGACAAGAGCTAGTCCAAGGCTCCCATGGTCTCTAAGAGCAACTGCGTGCTGAAAGCCCCTGCTCCTGAATCTGCAGCTAAATCCGATGACAAAGCTGCGAAAGGATCTGTACTGCGAGGGCTTACTGAGGATGAGGCTTTGGGTTAAGGCCCGAAATCGAAAATGGGGGTACTAGGTTTTGGGAAGCAGAGATCCAATCCGTAACCTTGTCATGTCTACCACCCGATACCCTCAAGTCAAAGACGGACACTCTGTGAGCCCAAAACATCGAAAACACTTCAAGCTAAACCCCAAGCCTTATGAACTTAAAACCCTCCCAGCCCCCAAAACCTAAACCACAAGGCTTGAACCCTTAAATTTCTTCAAGCTCAACTTCCCCGAAGAAGCAGCGAACACCACATCGCACCATCATTCCACGAAGCGCAACCTCAGAGCCCCTGCAAACCCCTAAGGGTTCTGTTTCACCAGCACGAGCCTCTGATATGGGAGTTTCCGAAAATTAGGGGTACCTTCTTTAGGTTAGGGGTCCTTGTAATAGGGATCCTACTATTTAGGGTCCTATAGTTGAGTCCCCCATTCTCGGAAACTCCCATATCAGCTTGAACCCTTAACCGAAAATTAGGGGGTACCTTATTTTGGGCCCTTATAATCAGGATCCTATTATTTCGGGTAGTACATTAGGGTCCCCTATTTTCGGAAACCCCCATATCTTGAAAGCATGAACCCGACCCACGGCCGAGCAATCAGCACACCAAGCGGCCCTAACCCTGCACCCACCGCAACAAATTGCAGCTGGCCCCAAAACCCTAAACCCTAAACCCTAAACCCTAAACCCCAAACCGTAGACCGTAAACCTTAAAGCCCAAGCACCAAACCGCAGACCCTTGCCCTGAAAGTTCGTCATCCGTGCACGCTTGGCTCATTGCTTCATAGTGACTTCGTCCTACTACTTGGGAGCTTCGAGTCACTGCCACTCGGCCTTGCCCCAGAATAAGGTAGGGGCTTGAATCTGAATTGTTCATGAAAGTTGAAAGTGGTTTGTGTGTAGGATTTAAGGTTTATATTGGGAAGAGCTAATAACATTCTTCAGAGGGCTCCTTGTTGTAATGATCGTATACTATGCCCCCACAGTTTTAATGATGAAGGCCGTTAGAGCTGATCCCTCATGAACCTGCTTGTCACAACAGTAGGGTTTGTGGATTTACTGTTAAAGGTCCATGATGTGGAAGTAGCAAGCTATCGCGCGATGGTTTCACCCTCCCTTTTCAAGTCAATATCTAACTCCGGTGCAAAAAGAGGCTGTTTGAACGCAAAGTCCTGAACCCTGAACTTAAACTGACCTAAACTTCAAAGGAGTATTTGTAATCTGAATGCGCGAGCACAGTCGTGGCGAGCTAGAGCATCACAGGTTGTGGGTGTACAGGAGTTCTAGGTGTATATGGTTACAAATGAAAGATAAACATGCATATTACGGATATTCATTTCTGAATCCATTTGAACGACTATCTCATACACATCGCCAACGTCTATGAGTGCATATGTTATGTCCATGACGACTGCCTGGCCCATACTGTACAAATTGCACTGCACGCCATTGCAGATCGGCTGCGGTCAGAAGGTGGTATATAAGTGTTCCGGCTTTGTCAACCCACCATCACTCCCTGAAACCCTAAACCTTGGGAGGCTTTGCTGTTTTCGGGCTGCAACGTGTAAAGAAACCCTTCGCTTCCCAAAAATGTCTTAAAATCTAAACCCTGGACTTCATCGTATGCTAAGCTCTGCACCCAAATCGAACCCTAAAACATGCCTTCCCCCCGACCAACTTCGCCGCAAGACGTTACACTCAAGAAACCTATGTCGAGACTGAGCATCTCCATGTTCCTTCTAAGCAAAGCACAGGTATTAAGAAAGTGCGAAAACAACGTGTTAACACAGACCATACACACATGCACACATGCACACATGCATGCATGCATACGTGCATACATACATACTGACTGACTGACAAACAAACAGACAGACAGTCACCCAGACAGACACACATACACACCTACACAGACATACGTGCAGGCATACAGACATGCATACGTGCGTTGCATGCGCACATACTTACATCCATACGATCTAGATTGCAAATGTTATCCTAAACGTGCGTTTGGAGCCAAGGTCCAGCCCCAGCACAACAATGTCGGCGGCGGCGGTCCTTAACAAGAAGACATTTGTGAGACTTTGCAGCACGATTCAGTCCCAGCCAGCTTAGCAAGTGATCTGGGAGATGCCGGATGATGTCAGGTAGCCCTTTTTGAATCATAGAAACCTGAAGTTCACGTGGCCTGCGATTTTGAGGGGATGTGGCACTTGTCACCGTCCGCCAAATCCGGCTGACCCCGCCTCTACAACCCCCGAGTTCGTACAGACCAGCCAGCCGATGCTTACGTCTACGCTACATGAGAGGGCCTCTTACAACTCAATAGACCTCAACCCCGAAACCCCGGTACTACCGAACTCTGCAGCCAAGCCATAAAGCATACTTAACAAGTTCTGCCTCATGACCGCCCACCTTGTGGCCAGGCTTCCGTGCGAGTCCCGTTCACTACGCCCTTTTCTTACAATTACCTTTCGGTCGCCGAAGACTTGAGTCAGCGGGCTTCCTGAGTTTAGGTTTAGGGTTTTCCTTAAACTATGGGGTTTAGGGTTTAGGGTAACGTCTCGTCGGAGAAATGGAAGCCTCATGACAGTCTAAGTGTTTGGGAAAGCGTGTGTGTAAGTCCCCCAGGACGGTGCAAGAAGAGGCCATCCGTCGATTGCGGATTCTGCGGGTCTGAACTTGCTCAGGGTTTTCGGCATCTAGCTACAGTCTTCATTGTACTTACTTTCTGGGGGTCGCCTGATAGGATCGTGAAAATTAAGTCAATGGAGAATAGAGGGAGACTTCAGGGTGTCTCCGCAACTCCTACCAACACTCATCACAAGCGCCTGGGAACTGTAGCATCCTGTGTATGGTTATCAGCATGTGTCGATGTTCCAGCATACCTGTTTTCGCGTGCGTGCATCAAATCTTGCGTGTCATCATGGGTCTTGCAAGACCTGCCATGCCAGGTGGCCCACCAACGGCTGATTCAGAGCTGCTGAGCTGGAAAGCAGAGTAAGGCCTTGCTCCCTAAAGGCCCTGAAGGCAAGCGCAATCAACCGTTCGCTGAATGTTCAAGCCACGGTTCCTGAGGTGTTGAGAGACAAGCAAACCCTAAGCTTTGGGAGCTGGGGGCCTGAGGGTTCCTGGCTCCTGGTAGCTGATACCTGACATGGGAGACTGCCGTTCTAGACTTGCTTACGGGGTTTTGGGCTTAGGGTGTTAAGGTTTAGGAGTTTAGGGTACCTTCAGGCGGGAGGCGCAATAAGTATAGAAATCGCATTTGCAAAGCTTGACCGGTAAATTGAGAGCGCCCAGACGAAGATCGCACAGCCTTAAGCACTGCGAGTCATAGATCTGCCCCCGAGTGTCCAACGAGCATTAGCCTAAGGTAAAAGCCAGAAAGTTGGAATATGATTATCCTATATAACCCCTTTATAGTGAATTATAGGGTATCCTACCCTGAAACCATATTCCAACTTTCTGGCTTTTACTTGAAACCCTACATCGCTACACCGAGATCCTGAGAAGTCGTGCCCCTAAACCCTAAACCCTAAACCCTAAACCCTAAACCCCTAAACCCTAAACCCCTAAACCCTAAACCCCTAAACCCTAAACCCTAAACCCCTAAACCCTAAACCCCTAAACCCTAAACCCTAAACCCTAAACCCACAGGCCAGGGCACAAGGGCCATGCACTTGTCCAGGATTCTACAGAGAGATCCTGTCTGGCGGCTTTTCAGATCACATCCCTAGATACCAACTTAAAGCCCTGAGCCTTAGTATTATTAGTATGATCGTAAGATATCATAAGTAATACTAGGTATTGTTAGTGATGGTTGGTATTAGTGTTAGTATTTCTGTGTGTAAAATAGTACTAATATGCGTACTCGTATTACTATTTCAGCCTGAAAGCTCGCCTCGGGGCTTAGCTCGTACCTTCTTTGTTGGAAGCCCAGGCAAGTGGTATCCCGGTGGCCAACCCACCGCAGCCATCGAGGGCGAGGATGAGGTCGGATCCGGGAACGGTTGAAGGGAACAGGGTTGGCATACCCTCAACCCATCTAAACCCTAAACCCCTCAAACCCTTAATTTTCGGAAACCCATTCCCTACTAACCAAAGGTAGGTTCTCCTAAGGTACCCCTTCCCTACTAACTAAAAGTAAGTTATCATAGTACCCTAAATAGTAGGATCCTTATATTGAGGACCCCAAATAAGGTACCCTACTAACCAAAGGTAAGTTATCTATGCCACGGCGGCTACGGTGTACATCAACGTAAACGTACTGCACCGCCTGCTGCTACCTCGAACCAATGAACCTGAAAGCAGAAACTGTAGACCCCGGTGTAGGGTTTAGGGGTTTGGGGTTCAGGGGTTTAGGGTTTAGGGGGCTTAGGGTTTAAGGGATTAGGGTTGAGGGGTTTAGGGTTTAGGGGTTCAGGGTTTAGGGACCTTATTTGGGGTCC